AGTCCTGCTCCACAAGGCAGTGGCGGCCTTTCTGACAGGTGGGGTGGGGGAGAAGCGAGACGCGTGGAGCGAGACGTGGCTCCCCATGCCATCTATTCTCCCCCCCACTCACCAGACATGGCAGTGCCCCTTGGCAGTGCCCCTTACTTAGCCACCCGCTCCCTTTTAGGGATGTAATTTGGGGGTGGCAGGTGGGGCGGGCAAGAAGTGGGATGCGCGTTTTACCTTTCAAGCTCTATGGCATTCCTCACCATTGTGTCCAGGGAAACACGTTGTAAAAAAAAACCTCGTGAGTTCAATAAAGTTTTTTTTACAATGTGTTTTCCTGGACATTGGCGAGGAGTGCCACGGAGCTTGAAAGGTAAGACGTGTGTCCCGCTTCTCGCTCGCCCCACTTGCCACCCCCAAATTGCATCTCTAAAGGGGGCGGGTGGCTAAGCAAGGGGCAGAAGCTCTGCCATTCCCGGTGATGAGGGGGGGAGAATAGAGAAGATCTCTGCAGTGCTGGTGTTTTTGGATGCAGAGAAGGCCTTTGATCGAGTGAATTGGAACTTTCTATTAAAGACTTTAAAAAAGATGGACTTTGGGGATCAGTTTGTACAGGCAGTTTCAGCAATTTATCAAGAACAAACAGCACAAATTATTATTAATGGAAGTTTAACTACAAATTTTAGTATAGAAAAAGGTACAAGACAAGGTTGTCCGTTATCCCCGTTGTTGTTTATTCTAACTTTAGAAGTCTTGTTGAATACGGGACTCGAGCACTTTGAAGGGAATAGTGATAAGGCAAGAGGATTACAGAACAAGGGCATTTGCAGATGATCTGGTTGTTACCCTAACACAGCCGAGGGAATCAATAATTCAGATGAAAGACATTATAGAAGAATATGGTATGGTATCAGGATTTAGACTGAATCAGAAAAAAACCAAGATGATAGTTAAAAATATGACAGTTGATCAAAAGAAGGAACTGGAAAGGAAGGCAGGCTTTGAAATAGTATCAAAGGTGAAATATCTAGGAGTTCAAGTTGCAGATTCAAATATAAAACTGTTTCAAAATAATTATGAGGTGGTGTGGCGAAAGGTACAAAAGGATATGGAAACCTGGAAAAAACTGCAGCTGTCTCTACTTGGAAGAATAGCAGCAGTTAAAATGAATGTTCTACCTAGATTTTTATTTTGTTTCAAATGATTCCGGTGCTTAAAAGTGATAAATACTTGATGGAATGGCAAAAAGGAGTGAATAAGTTTGTTTGGAATGAGAAAAAGCCAAGAGTTAAATTGAAAATTATGCAAGATGTGCGTGAAAGGGGTGGTCTTAAACTTCCAAATCTGCGATTGTATTATGAAGCTGCAGCGTTTACACAAGCAAGTGACTGGTTTGGAAGGACAAAGACTGAAATATTGAATATTGAGAGTTATGATCTTGAATTTGATTGGCATGCATATTTATTTTATGAAAATAAGGTGGACAAAGCATTTAATAGCCATATACTTAGAAGCTCCTTGATGAGAGTATGGAAGAAGCACCGGTTCAAATGGGATTATAAAATACCGTTGTGGTTGGATCTTGGTCACATTATACGGAATATAAATATAAAGTCACTCGGGGGGGGGTTATACAAAGAAGTACTTTTTAATGATGGGGGCAGATGGCAACTAAAGACATTGAACACACTGTTGGAAGAAGGGATCAATTTAACTTGGTTACAGTATAATCAACTTCAATTGAGATGGAGAGAAGATCAAAAAACTGGTTTAATGTTGCATGAAGAAGAATTGGTTAGACAGATAAAAGAGAAAGGCCCAATGCATATTAAGAGGGTTTATAATGTTTTGTTAGAAAGAGATTCAGAAAATGAATTGGTTAAAGATTGTATGATAAAATGGGTGCAAAATTTTGGAGAACCAGTTATGATGGAAACTTGGGAAAAATATGGGTTCAGAATGTTAAATTTACACAGTCGCAGAATTTGAGGGAAATTTTTTATAAAATGTTTTATAGGTGGCATTTAGATCCTAAGAAATTGTCATGCATGTATCCTAATGTTCAACCGAAATGTTGGAGATGTGATTGTTTAGATGCTACATATTATCATATATGGTGGACATGCAAGAAAGCAAAGGCTTTTTGGATAAAAATTTGGTGGGTTATGCAAAATGTCTTGAAGAAAAAAAATCAATTTTCTCCTCAATTGTTCTTACTGGGTATAGTTAAGGGTTTTTCATTGGGTGAAACAAAGTTGATATTGTATATGGTGACAGCAGCTAGGTTACTGATTGGTCAATATTGGAAAAGGGATGATATGCCTACAATTCAAGAATGGACCTTGAAGATAGCCAGTTTTGCAGAAATGGCGAAGATATCAGCATACTTAAAAGACCGAACTCAAGAGACTTATGTATGGGAGTGGAAGAAATGGATAGATTATGTGCAGAATAAATACCAAACTAGGAAGTACCAGATAGCTTTTAGCTAAATGTTGTGTAGAAATGTATAGTTTATAGGGGGCTGTACGGCAGGGGTGAAATGCTACTGGTTCAGGCCGGTTCTCCCGAACCGGTAGTAAAATATGCTACTGGTTCGCCGAACCGGTAGTAAATTTTTTTAAAAAAAAGATTCTGACAATCAGCTGTGCCGTGTGACTGTCCAAACTTTTTTTTTTTTTTTTACTTTTTAAGCATTTATTTACTACAGGTTCGGGTGAATAGGTAGTAAAATATGCTTTAAAAAAGTAAAAAAAAGGCTTGGACGGTTGCATAGCACAGCTGTGATCGTCGGAACCTTTTAAAAACTTTTTTTAAAGCATTTTTTACTACCTATTTGCCCGAACTGGTAGTAAAAAATGCTTTAAAAAAGTTTTGAAAAAGGTTCCCAAGATCGTTTGCCACAGCTGTTGGCAGGTAAGTAGGAAGGTAAGTAGAACAGCCCCCCCCACTGTTCCACTTACCTTCCCAAGCCTCCTTTTGGTGCATATTGTGCATGCATGTACAGCGCACCTTTGGTGTGAACTGCGTGTGTGCGTGCACAATGCGCATGTGTGGCCAGTGAGCCGGTAGCAAACCGGTTCAGATTTCACCACTGCTGTACTGTCTTCCGGCACAAGGGAGACATGTCTTCTGGAATGTTCTTCCCCCTCAGACCTTCCAGAAAGCTTTGGATATTCTTGTGCCAGGATGTCCATGAGCCCGCTGTTGGATTGAATGGTTTGTGCTTAGTTGTACAGGCCTTTCTGTTCCTGGGTTAATTTGCCTATATTTGTGTCTCTCACCCTTGGAAGCTGGCCATAGTTTTATATGGAAATCACAACCTGAAATGATAAAAGAAGATGCTCACCGTAAAGCCAGCCATCTAATTGGAGGAGCCCAGTATCCTCAGCTTTGATGGAGGGGGGGATTTCCTCTGATCCCCCCTCCCCAATCCAACACATTGAGATGCCCTGACCCAGAATTCCTCCTGCCAGAGAAGACTTTATCTCAGCGAACAGTGGCATGTGCTGTGGCTTCTTGGCCCAAGTGAGCCTGTGCAGCTGCTGTTCCTGGGGCTGTCCCAGCCTCTTGTTGCTTTTAGGCAAGGAAGCATCTTCTGCATGGTGACCCGATTGGGTCCGGAGCATGGGCTGTGCTATGAGGGAAGCGAATGGGGCTTGTGCAAGAGAAGCCCTGGCATCCATTCAGGAAAGAGCTGCCTTGGTTCAGATCCAAGCATTAAGGACTCTATGACAATGAACTTTAGGGAGATAAACAATTTAATGCAAAGCATAGATGGGAAAATAGAAACTATTCTACAAAGGACAACGAATAAAGACCAAGATGCCCAGGAGAGGAAGAAGACAACAGAAAGAATGGGGGAAAAGAAAGAACAGATAAATCAACAAGCAAAACAAGAAGAGAAGATTATACAGACCATAATGATTAATGAAACAAATCGGGGAAAGTATCTGAAGAGATTTAAAAATGGAATGGAAAGATACCATTGAAAAGGAGGTAGCGGTTTGGGCAGATACCCTGGAGGCTTGGCAGCATAAGAAGATTGAGATGGAAGGAATATTTAGACTAAACAGTAAAAATGCAGAGGTAGATAGAGAGAAAGATCCAAGAGAGGAGTATGGGAGGTATGCCAAAAAATAAATAAGAATTGAAATATTAAAACAGGCAAGAGATGATGGATAGAAAGGAAATGTTATTTCTTGGGTTTTTTTCCCCTTCTTTCTTTAATATAATGGGAGCCTGATTAAAAGTTAGAATAGAAATAGAAATAAAGATATGCATATTATAAAAGTAATACATAGACAGAGGATTAGAGGTTGAAAGATGGATTTAATATGTATGTTTAAATAATATGGTGATTGTTGTCAGGATGGAGTAAGAGAATTAGATTTTAATACAATATGTGTACTATACTAGCATTAGTAAGCATGGCCTGATTAAATAGAATAAATTAAAGAATTAAATGGAAAGATTAGAGGTTGAAAGATAGTATTATGCATGCTTAAACAATGTAATTGGCATTAGAATGATACATTGAAATATTGAATAATTAAATAATGGTTTCTATCTTAATACAAATAGTATTAATGCTAGGAGTATGTAAGCTTAATTAATGTAACAAATATTATTGATAATAGTATTGTTATTTGTATCAAAATGAATGATACCCAGATGCTACATTGTTCATGTATTGATGTATTGATGTTGATGTATATATAAAAATACAATAAAAAACATTTTTAAAAAAGGAAACAGCTGCCTTGGTTCATATCCATGCCTTGACCAGCAGCGAAGGGGCTTTGGCCACCAATCTTCCTAGGAGTTCATTATAGCTGGGAAAAAAACCTACTGAACAAAATCCATAGCTGTTTTCAGAGTGTTTCTTTATAGCAGCCGTGAAGAGAAGCCAGGTGAAGCGCCAGGCCCCATTCACAAGAACCGTGCCCTAAATATTGGAAATCTGTCCCAGGCTGCCCCTGCAAACCTGAACAAACTCTTGTTTCTTGCAGTGAAGATGCCATGAGAAAGGCTGGCGCTGCTCACACTAAGACCAGCAAAGAAATGGAAAACCACGTTTTCATGAAGGCCAAAACGCGGGTAAGAAGTTCCTTTCCTTGCTGGAGGGGACAGGTGGGAGGGAGCCCCCTGCAAGGAGAAGCTGACTGGCCGGTGGCCCTGCAGACGAGGTAGCCTCCAAGCACGGGTTCCCTCTGGGACACATCAGCTGTGGAGAGGGGCGGCTCTTCCCTGCCTGCCGGGGCTCCTGCTCTCAGCCTGGGGCCATGGAGGAGGAGGTCTGCGCAGGATGGGATTTAAGTTTCTGAAAAGGAGCCTCTGCTTGTATGTTGGAAACTCTTCTTAAGGAGAGGATATTCTCCTCCCCACCCCCAGGCCAAAAGGAAGCATATCCTAGTGGTGAAGATGCCGCACTTAGGAGCAGGGAGACTGTAAGCACTGGGAAGACGAAGGGTCAGAGCAGGGACAGTACCCCCCCCTCCCTCCAGCTCAGCTGGCTTCCCCTCCGTCACTGTAACCTGAAGTGAATTGGTGATCTGCTCCTCCCGGCTCTGTGGCCAGAGGACTGCATGGCACGCAAGGCAGTGCAGGAGGGGTTTGTGAAGGCGTGACTGTGAGTTTCTGAGCCTCATGGATCGAGGAGATAGGAGAGCAACAGCCAGGTTCCACTGGATCCAAGGAGAGACCCCTGGAACCCACCAAGCCCTTTGGCTCCGGTGGTGGCTGCTTCTGCCTGGCCACCCTCCCATCCACAGGGCCTTTCTCCCCTGCTTCACAAAGGCCTGCAGGCCCAGCCTGATGGGGCAAGAAGTCCCATGAGCCCTCGCCTGCCTCCCTGCTGCCTTCCACAGTGCATTTTTCTTTTCTAATTCTAGGACGAATATCTCTCTCTCGTGGCAAGACTCATCATCCATTTCCGGGATATTCGTAAGTAGCCCTTCGTGTTTCTGTGGATTGGTTTAAAGACATTTTTCCTGGCTGGCAAGGAGCTAGAATGGGGAGCTCACATCAAGTCTTAACCCCCACCCCACCCAACCCTTCCCCAGTTGGAATTTGGAGCCAGGTTCCCAACAGCGGAGAAAACACTAGCTGGGCCTGGTCTCAGTCCCCAGAAACCCAAAGGAGAATTGTCTAATGCTGAGTTCTAGGAGGGGAGGAGAGGAAGGAAGGAAGGATGCTGAAAATGAGGGATGAGAAAGCCAGGTCCACAGTCGCTTTAGTAGTTTGAGGGGAAGGTGTACACTCTCCTTTACCTTTGAGCTTCCTTTGTAATAATAATAATAGTGGTAATATAAATCACTCAGCTCATTTCGGTTGGCCTAATTTTTCTTTCCTGGAAAATGAGTCTTTTCTGGGGAATGAGAGATATTGGCATTAACTCAGAGCCCCCAAACTTCCTCACAAATGGGACTTTGTTTTGGGCCTAGAAGTCCATTGGAGGAAGAGCCCAAGATTTTAAATTTAAAAGGACTCCTGCCTTAAAGGAAAGACCCATGTTCCCCAGCAGAAACCCTGTTGGCCCAGGCGGGTCGTTCCCTAAATCTGTGTGTGTGCAACTGTTACCCTTTTTGTTTCCTAGACAACAAGAAGTCTCTGGCCTCCGTCAGCGGTAAGGAGCCCCCTTTTCTTTGTCCCCTTCCTTTGTAGTGACGATTCTGGGGCGTTTTCCGCTTTGCCAGGGCCAGAAAGTGAAGGCCAGGCCGGAGGGGTAGGTCTCCTGGAAAGAGGAAATGGGCTCTGAAAAATGCATTCTGATACCCCTTCAGGCTCTTCTGGGGTTGCCAGAATCAGAACTCTGCTTCATGGAAGGCGGGTCAGGGTCTGGGACGGGTCGGGAGGGGAGTGGCTGCATCTTCAGCTGAGTTGGCAGAGCAGAGCAGATGCATCTGTCTCTTTTTTTTTCCCCAGACCCAATGAATGCACTGCAGAACCTGACGGGGGGTCCTCCAGCAGGACCAGGGGCAATGGGGATGGCTTCTCGTCCTCAGGGGGCCTCCCTGGCTGGGATGAGTGGGCTTGGGCCCCCCATGGGACAGCCGATGAATCTCCCAGGGCAGCAGCAGCCTGGACCTGCTGGGATGGCCCTTCACGGCATCCCCAACATCCCTGCCACCAGCCAGCCGAGTAAGTGTTTGAGGCAGATCCCTGGCCTTGAGGGGAGGCTCCCTCTGATGGGGTTGGGATTGGTGGGGGGCCTCCCCCGGAACTATGAACACTTCACTTCTGTAGAGAAATGCAGGAGGGTCTTTTTAAACACAAAGTTGTCCCTCTCTTCATTATAGGACTCCAAAAGCATTGATATGATGTCATGTTATTACTTATACTTCATCTGAAAAAGAAGAACTGAGTTCAAATAAATTTTCCAAGGAGAAAGTTAATTAGGACAGCTTTATAACTTCTATCTCTTTCTAGATCAATAGAGAAGTTTGGTCTGTGCTAAATATGATCCTATCATATATTAACAATATTATAATTATTATTTCATAAATATGTTAGGCATTATGGAGAAAGGGAAAAACTGGGAAATTATTGGCTTAAATAGATTAAGCAAAATAGTATGGTGCCATTTATTTAGGGTGGACATACACATACGCCTATATACATACATATACTATGTGTGTGTATAAGCTGACACACACACACTGGTTGTTTTGGTCTGCAGTGCCCTATAGTGTCGTCTTGAGGGAAGAAGTTGCAACAGTTTATGACCAGAATGTGAGGGGTCTGTAGATACTTTCACGGCCCTCTTTTTGGCTTGTGCAGTATATAGGTCTTCAATGGAAGGCAGACTAGTTGCAATTGTTTTTTTCTGCAGTCCTAACTGTCTGTTGAAGTCTGTGTCTATCTTGTTTGTTGCAATGCCAAACGAGGCAGTTATAGAGGTACAAATGACAGACTCAATAATTCCTCTATAGAACTGTTATCAGCAGCTCCTTGGGCAGTCTGAGCTTTCTGAGTTGGCGCAGGAAGAACATTCTTTGTTGTGCCTTTTTAATGATGTTTCTAATGTTAGGCGTCCATTTTAAGTCTTGAGATATTATAGAACCTAGAAACCTGAAGGTCTCTAATGTTGATACTGTGTTATCTAGAATTGTAAGAGGTGGTAGAATAGGAGGGCTTCTCCGATTTCTACAGTTTTGAGTGTGTTCAGTTCAAGATTGTTTCAGCTGCACAACAAGGCTAGTTGTTCAACTTCCTGTCTGTATGCAGATTTGTCGTTGTCTCGAATGAGACCAATCACTGTTGTATCATCTGTAAACTTCAGTACTTTTAACAGAGGGATCATTTGAGATGCAGTCATTGATATATAGAGAGAAAGCCCTACTAAGCAGGTATATACAAAAGTATGAAGGCTAAGGCTTAATGCATTGTAAGCCGCCCTGAGTCTCTGGAGAAGGGCAGCATATAAATCGAACCAATAAATAAATAAATAAGTGGAGTGAGCACACAGCCCTGTTCTCTCCCCCCCGCCCCCCGGTGCTATCTGATGTGATTTTGCCTAGCTTCACTTGCTGCTTCCTATCTGTTAGAAAGCTTATGGTCCATTTACAAGTGTGGTCAGGCACGGCTAGCTGAATCACTTTAGTTAGAAGAATACCTGGAATGATCAAGCAAGGAGGATTTACCTTGTCTGGGCCTGGTGCTTTTCCAGGCTTTTGTCTCTGCAATAGATCTCGCACATCTTTTGTGATCACCCAGAGGGATGGGGTCAGTTTTTTTTTTTTTTTTTTTTTTTTAAATTTTGATTTATATGCCGCCCTTCTCCGGAGACTCAGGGCGGCTTACAGTGCGTTAAGCAATAGTTGTAGGAGGCTTGGCTGTTGTTGGTGTATCTGAGATGGAAATAAGTGACAGTGGTTTCCTCTCAAACCTACAGTAAAATACATTCAGGTCACCTGCCAGTTGTCGATTCCCTTCAGTACAGAAAGGCAGTTTGCTGTAACCAGTGATATTCATTCTCTCTCTCTCTCTCTCTCTCTCTCTCTCTCTCTCTGGATGAACTCACAGATACTGTAACATAATATGTCAGTTTTTGTGAGTTCATCCAAGTCTGCAGAGATATCTTTGAAAATGTTCCAATCTGTGCAGTCAAGGCAAGCCTGTAGCTTTAACTTTGACTCCTTGGTCCAAGATGTCACTAATTTAATTGTTGGTTTTATGGTTTTAAGCCTTTGTCTATAAACAGGTTCAAGGTGAATCATACAATGATCAAGAGTGTCCATAGCTGCTCATGGTAAAAACCCATAAGTCTCTTTTAATGGTGTGTAGCAGTGGTCTGAAGTATACTTGCCTCCAGTAAGACATTTGACATGCTGAAAGTTTCTTGGCTTAAGTTAAACTGTTGAAATCTCTTAACACAATGAGGAGTGAGTCTGGGCATCTCTCTTGAGCCCACATAATCTAGTCAGATAAAGTTTTTAATGCATTGTTTAGGCAAGCTTGTGGAGGAATGTACGTTGCAAATAGAATAAATGTGGAAAGCTCTCATGGAGAATAAAATGGGTTGCAATTGATAATATCTCTTAAGTCCACATCACACATCACAGAATTTCTTTACTGTAGTTACATTTTTATACGATCTGTTGTTTATATAAAAGCAGAAACCCTCTCCCTTATTTTTACCAGATGTTTCTGCAATTCTGTCTGCTGTCTGTATCTGAAACCCTGGGATGTGCAGGGTGCTATCATCAATCGACTCATTTAGCCAGGTTTCCGTGAAACAGGACTGCTGAGTTTTAAAAATCAGAGTTGCATCTGTTTAAAAGAAGTATTTCGTCCACTCTATTAGTGAGTGAATTTAAATTAGTCAAAAAGAGTGAGGGAAGAGGGGCTTTTATTCCATTTATTCAAAATCCCTGCTCACTTACCCCTTCTTCGTTGCCGTCCTCTCCTCCTTTTGTTTTTGTTTTTCCATTGTCCAGAGAGAGCTGCCATTTCCTGGATGAGAATCTCTTTTGCATTTGTAAAGACGGGGGCTATAGTCACAGAAACCTGCTCACTGAGGGGCAAAACCAAGTAGCTGGACTTGTGTACAGGAACACCTGTATGGAATATGGGCTAGTCTTTACCAAGTCTAGATAGAGATCCCACAGGAGATTGTGTAAAACAAGAAGGCCAAGATTCTGTGGGATTACCAGATCCAGACAAACAGGCAAGTACTAGCCTGCTGGTAGAACAGAAGACACCGTGGTGATAGATGTAGCAGTGCCAAGTGGCAGGAAAATGGACCAAGGCCTGAAGGAGGAACTGGATAGGATGTGGAAATAAGTGGCATAAGTGATCCCAGAGGTGGCAGGAGCACTTGGGGCAGGGACTCCTGATCCTGCACAGAACCCTGAAACCACCAGGCCCCTGGGAGAGGACCTGAGATTGAGGAAGACAAGACCACCCATAAGGGTGAGAAGGGTATTTTTATACGTATGTTCTCTCATTTTACATTGCTGAATACAATTGCAGATTTTTAAAAAGAGTTAAAATATATTTCTAGCTTATAAGAACTGTTCATAGCAGAAGCTAAGCATATAGAGCTGTGGTGGCGCAGTGATTAGAATGCAGTACTTCAGGGCTAACTCACTGCTCAGTGAAGACCCAGATTGTTGAAGGCAATATGCTGATTCTGTAAACCACATAGGGTTGTAAAGCACTGTGAAGCCGTATATAAGTCTAAAGGCTATTGCTAAGTGCTGTATGTAGGTTATTTCAAATCCCATGGTTTCTAACTGCAAAATGTTGAGCTATTTCCTAGAGAAGTTCTGCTCATATAGTAGGAAGCACATAATTGGGATTAGAGAGACTAAAGTACCATTAGGTGAGAGATTAGCTTCCTCTTCCAGGGATGCTGGGGCATTTTAGGAGTGCCCAAGGGGCTGTTTCAATGTCTCCATCTCTGAACATGTGCACAGGTTCTGTCAATAAAGAATATTTATTTAATCCCCTTGTGAGCACCGTCGAAAGCAAAGCTTCTGAGCATGCCAGTGTAACTACCTCCTGTGAAGCCCAAGGACCTGATAACAATCCTGGGGGAGTAAAGGTGTCCCTGTGGCTGCCCCTTTGCCCATCAACGTTTTGCTTCTCTCGCCAAGCAATCTCCCTGCCTCTCGGAAGCCTTGGAAGACTATGAGGTCCAAAGAGGTGACGCAGCCAATTCGGAGGGTCCCCCTTGTGCAGAGTCAGAGGTTTCACACACACACCCCAAAGCGTGTCTTGGGGTGCTTTCAGCATGTGGCCCCTTGCGATTGTCTCTTCAGCCCAGCTCCAGCTGCAGCAGATGGCTGCACAGCAGCAGCAGCAGCAGTTCCAGCAACAGCAGCAGCAGGCTGCCCTGCAGCAGCAGCAGCAGCAGCAGCAGCAGCAGCAGCAGCAGCAGTTCCAGGCCCAGCAGTCAGTAATGCAGCAACAGCAGTTCCAGGTGCAGCAGCAGCAGCAAGCAGCAGCAGTTGCACAGCAGCAAATGCAGGTGGTGCAGCAGCAGCAGCAGCAGCAGCAAATGCTCAAATTGCAGCTGCATCAACAAAGCCAGCAGCAGGTGAGAGCAAAAGCTTCAATGTCACCCTCTCTCTCTTGCCCAGCAGCAGGAGACAGGATGGCTCTGGTGGCCGAGGACTGGCCAGGCCAGCGCCTGTGGGCATCGTGGGAAGGGGTTGGTCTGGCTCCCCTGAAGCCATCAGTCTGACTGGGTCTTCTCTGCTCCACTCGGGGGGCCCAAGGGAAAGAGGGCCCTGTATTTTCATAGCTGGCTCTGAAATCCGCTCCTGAATGCAGAAAAAGGAACCCAATTGAACTTCGGTGCAGCTCCTGTCTCTCCAGCACACGGGGCAGCAAAGCCTGTCCAGGGCCTTCCTGGTAACACTTCCTTCTCTTGCACGTCTGTCTTTAGATGCAGCAGCAGCAGCAACTGCAGCGAATTGCTCAGATGCAGCAACAGCTGCAGCAGCAGGCCGCTCAGGCCGCTCAGGCCCAGCAGCAGCAGCCACCGCCACAACCGCCACCTCAGCCACCCCCCCCACAATCAATGCAGCAGCAGGTGGCCCAGGCACCCTCCCAGTCGCTTCCTCCCCAGCCCATGGTCTCCCAGGCCCAGACTGTTCCGGGACAGATCCCTGGCCAGGTCTTGTCCATGGCCATCCTGCCCCAGCAGATAAAAGCCATGCAGGTAAGGGGTCAGGATGGCTGCCTCTGATTGCCTGCATCCATTTTCCCAGTTGCCGCTAAAGCCAGTAATATAGAATGGTCAAAGAAAACAGGGAAATTATTAAGATTAACAGAGGTAGCGAAAATGCTAAACAGTTTTGATGGAAATAAAAATTAATTGTAAAACTAAGAAAAAAGGCTAAGCCAGAAGTCTTCAACAGAGAGGATGAAACTGAAACTTATGAAATTATTTGCAATGCAGCTCAAGTCAGAGATACTGTAGATGGGAATAATATTTTAGAAGGGGTAGGGAAATGCTGTTGATGTCAAGAGCTGGATAATGATATAAATGTTAAGGGTTTAAAAATGATGAAGAGGAAGGATAAAAATGAAGCATGCCTAACAATTGTTAAGGTTGTAGATGGTGTATATTGAGAGATGTTAAAGCATGATAAATGAATAGATGTGAATTCAGCAAGTTTTGCAAGAATGTGAAACTCCACATTCTTGTGGAGTTTTGCTGAATGTAATTAACGGCGGCATTTGATGAAAATAAAATTTATGTAAATGTAGATGAGATGCCTGGCAATATTTAGCACTGAGACGATGTCCCCTTGCTTGGAAGAATATGTTGTGGATTAAAAGTATATGAAATGCTTATGATGATAAAAGTATAGAGAGACAAAAATGTATAGCTTGTTGCTTAAAACCTGGTTTTCAGCGAATCTTTAATAGATATACAATACAACAAGGAATAAAAGATCTGAAAATTAATGTATCAAAGACTGAGATAAATGTGTTTGTCAGGGAAAATGGAGTGAACAGTTGCAAGTTTGTGTGTGTATAAAACAAAAAAAATAGATGAGAAAATGTTTTCTAAGTAAGTAAATGAAGACATGCAAACATTGTTAAAAATAGATAGTATGTAGTCTTTTTAAAAAAAATTCTATAAAGTAGCTAGGTATAAGACTCCCTATCTATTTTATTAAATGGATCATGACCATTGCATATATCAGGAGAAATAGAAAAGAAAGCTGAGAGCAGAGGAATGTGAGTGCTAAGAGAATAAGAGTAATACAAAAGCAAGTGACCGTATGAAGTAAGCATGTTGTGATAGTTTGATCATAAAGAGAGAAATAATGAGGAACAAAATGAAGACCAAGAAAAGTGGTTTTGCTGGAGAGATGAGACATTTGAACAATAAAATTATCAGGTAACGTATAGTAAGAGCAAGATTGCTTTGCAAGTTAGAGAAGTATTGAGGAATTTAATAACTAGTGCTGATGTAGCTGAATTTTCTTTTTTTGTTTCCTGCCTTTTAATTTTTTTTCTTTGTGTCTTTATACTCTTTGTATAAAGTTTCTTACCCTGAAAGGTAATGGGTGTGAAATGATATGCCTGCGCTTTAATATCAGATTCATGTTTGTGGGCAACAGTTTCTGGGTGTACAGTTCACAGACTAGGGCAATTCTCAGTGTTTTGAAGCCTAGTAGAACCAGAGGAGGCCCTGCTAGGCTTCTCCTGGCAGTATTGGCATTTCTGCGTATGGAGCCAGCATGTTCTCCATACCCCTCTGGGATTCCCAAATTTGTAGCAGGCCTAAAAGAAATCCTTCAGCTGGGCCTTGGAGGCGGCTGCCAGGCTCCCCAGGAATCGGACAGTGTCTCGGGTTTCAGGCACAGATAGGAAAGAGGCAGACGGGAGTCCCTGCACGTTGGCAAGACGGCCATGAGATTGAGCGCTGTGGAATCCACTCTTGGTTCTGTTCCTCAAGGCCAGAGCTTTGCAACCAGCAGCAGCAGCAGCAGCAGCAGCAGCAGCAGCAGCAGCAGCAGCAGCAGCAGCAACAGGTGGCTTCCCAAGTCCAGGCTGCCCAGATGGGAGCATCCAGCCAGGTAAGCTGCTGCCTCCAGAAGCTGCAGGCCTCTTTCATAGTCCTGGGGAGAGGAGGAGGCCATTTTAGTTCCCTTCTGCCCTTCTTTGGAGTGCAGTTTCTGCCTGCTGAAGTGGGGGAACCTGGCACTGTTGCCCTGTGCTTGGCAAGGCCCCCAGGCCGCTTTAGAGGGGTTTCCTGGATTTTTCTGAAAGAGGTTTGGTGGTCCCTTTCTCCCTGTTCCTGAGTGCGTGCGCCATTTCTCCTACCAGAAGCTTTGGTTAGATGCTCCTCCCCCTTCTTCTCTGTTCTGGGTAACCTGAATTTGAGGTGCCGCCTTGTTTCAAAGAACCAGCTGCATGTGGCACTGATCGTGGACCTGTCATGCTGGGTGGTGATTCATTTCCAGCACGTGCCTGATTGCCTGCTGTTCTTCCAGGAAAAGAGAACTAAGAATGTGGCTGGACGCAGGAAGAGATTCATGGAACTGATCCCTGTACAGCCTTTCTCTTCCTGGCTCACTTGAAGCTGTTCCTGGAGGAGCTCTTGAAGCCCTTGGCCCACGGCAGATGTGGCCCCATGGCTGGCAAGAGAGCCAATCCCAGAAGTCATTTTGTCAGGCAGAGTTTGACCTGAGAGGCTCATCCTCCGAGGAGGGTTCCCTCGGGAGGCTCTCTTTCCTTCCCAGCATCCTGGCCATGCGCCCTTGACAAAAGGATTCAGTCTTTCTGGCAGCGGGCAAAGTCTGTGCCTCCATCTGTCCCTTGGAAGCCTGTTCAAGGGAGAGCCTCTCTGCTTTAGTCAGGAAGTGCGGAAGGCAAGCCGGGGGCAGTTTGAGGATGGGGCCAAGCAGTGGAGGGCATTGGGGAGGGCTGGACCTCTCTTGCGCAGAGTGAAGAGCAGGGGAGGAGGAATGTGTTGGGATTTTCAGAGCTCTGGGCACCAGAGACAGGGCAATGGTCGTAAGTACAGGCCAGTTGCCAAGCCCCCAAATTTTGATCACGTGACACAGAGATGCTGCAAATATTGTAAGGGGGGAAACTGGTCATAAATCACTTATAAGTGCCATTGTAACTTCGAACAGTTGCTAAATGAATGGCTGTAAGTTGATGACCACCTGTATCTGCTTCTCCTTGCCTCCCTCTCCTCGGCTCTGGCTTGAATGGGCCCCTAGGTGCTGACTGGTTGCGCCATCTTTTGTGGTGTGAGGAAGGGACTCAAAAGAAGGGGCTTGGTAGAGGCCCAGGGGCTGCTTGCATCTCGAACTTTGTAGATGGGATGAAGGATAATGCAAAATCCTAACAGAATAAAATGAGAGGTTTCTGAGAGCTGAATGGCTGGCTGTGCTCCCACATCCGGCTTGTGTTCTCCGGATTTGTCCTGGGCATTTTTTGAAACCTTTTTTGCAAGCAATCCCATTTCCACCACTGACATCTTTGCATGGCTTTTCATGTTCTGTGGTCCTTCCTGGAAACTTGGGTTGTGCCATGGAGCTGTGACTCTCTGTGAGCTTATTCTATGCCATTTCCCCTTTCCAAGGAAGCCCATTTGGTTAGAGGCTGCCATGGCTGTGGCGCCGGGTCATAAAGCCTTGATGGTGGAAGGCTAGGAGTAGAAGAGCCCCAACTGGTGCCAACAGCTGCAGCTCCAGAAATAACAGATGACCATAAGGAGGGGCTCCCCAGGCCACCAAGGAGAGGGAGACTGTAAAAGGATGGCTACCGGCTGCCAACAGATGCTGCACTTGGTGCCTCCCTGGTGGCCGCCTCACCTCCTTTTCTTTCTTTTACCTGTTTTCCCAAAATGAGCAGGAGGCAGGCTGGCACACTGCAGAGCAAGTATAGCCTCTCTACTTGGCATCGCCTTTTTTTAAGAAAGCCTCTTCGGCATGCTTAAGGAAGGAAAGGGAGGGCAGCTACAGCCCCCCCCCCCCCCGCCCCCCAAGCCCTTAGACACATCTCAGAAGGAGAAAAGGACAGGAGCTGGAGAAAGCTAAACCAAGTGACCCACTCTTGGAAGGGAGCCCCATATCTGCTGAAAACTCCAATGTGCCCAGCTGGCTCCACAATGGCCTCCACCCCTATGAGAAGGCATTCTGAGGAAGCTAGTTGGATGCCTCTTTGAAAGTGGTAAAAGGAGGAGTGGCTTCTTCACCTGCCTCGGATGAAAATATTGGGGGATTCTCACTTTATTGTCCCTCAGCAACCGCCTGGCCAGACCTGGGGGACCTGAGCATCTGCAGGTCAGCTTCTGGGCTTGGCTGCCGCTTTCTTCTTCCGAAGTAACTGGGGACGGCAGCTAAGCGTCAGTGTCTTTTCCAGGGGATGATGCGCTCCTGGGCTGAGCATGTCTTTGCAACTTTGCTCCGCCTCCCTTTCAATAATTCCATGTCTCCCCAGAGGTTATTCTTATTATGTGCAGTGGGATCTCTGGGGGGCAGAGAAGAGTCGCTTGAGGTTATGCCTATGATGGGCTACTGGCCCTGCAGTTTAGTTGAGCACACCTGATGGCTGAAGCCAGGAACAACCCTGAAATACCTGTCCGCATCAGAGAAGAGCCGGAGTGGCCCTTCACAAAACACTCCACGCGTTGTCTCTCTCAGTCTTTCAGTCAGGTTGGCCGGTCCTAAATCCATTTGGGAGGGAGCAGAATTAGGCTGTTCCTCCTGGGGCCTCCGTCCCTCAGCTTCCCTGCTCAGAGGCAGCATCTTAGCCCCTGGTTCCTCTGGGCCTCTGCAAGAGAGAAGAGCAGGCCTTCTCTTCACTGGGCCCGGCTGGAGGGCCAAGGCCCCCTGGATCTGCCTGTCCTGGCACTGAGCAGCCTCCCTCCCAACTCATGCGCCACTGACGCTTGAGGGCAGATTTGAGGGATTGCTTCCATGGAAGCTGTGGGGCTGCTGCCTTGCCAGAGCACCTGGCCTAAGGGAGGATGTTGCCCGCGGGGGTCGCTGGTGGTGCTGACGGTGGTGGTGGTGCTCAGAGTCAGGGCTGCCTTCTGGCTCCCGCTAGCTTCCCTTTGGCGGTGTGGCAGGAGGCAAGACTGAGGTGGTCCGCTTGGTTGAGCCACGGCGTTCTCAGCATTGCTAGGCCTCCCGTGTGGCTCAGAATGTGGAGGAATGCCTAGAGGGAGTCCATCTGCTGCTGCCCCCCTTGTCTTGCTGCCCCCCATCGTCCCTCCACCTTCGCTTGGAAGCTGGTGTTGCTGCCTGTTGGATGTGGCTGCCCTTCTCCTCCTGGCCTTCCCCTGCATGCAGTGGAGGTTGCCTGTGTGCATGCGATCCATGTCTCTTCCCTAAGGCTGCTGCTGAGTGACTCCTCCCAGCCCAGGCTGGGAACGGAGCTTCCTTGCTGTGCATGAATTAACCATGACGCTTTCCTCGGACCCTCCTTTCCCCTTTGGTTGTGACCCCTGCATGTGCCTGTTCTGCAGTGGCTGTTGGCAGCACTGACCTCCTGAAATGTGTGCTGTGGCCGCTGCAGTCTTTGACTTAGTGGGGGCTCCCCAAAGAGGCTGGCCATTTGGTGCTGACATCCCCAGTGCCTTTTGACTTGCTTAGTTGAGTGCTCGTCAGGCACTGATCCGGCCACAGGGACTGACTGAGCTGCGGGTGACATGTCCATCCAACCCCAGCTTATATCCCACTCCAGGCCTGTACCCCCTTTCTAGAAGGAGGCAAACACACTGCCAGTGGCCCCCAGGCTTCCACTAGATGTGACCCGTCCCACCTGGGTAATGGTATACCCCTCTCCTGTGACAGGACTGCAGCTGCCCCCCTCCGTATTAGCCATAGCCAGAGGAGGCTGCTTCCATAAGCCAGCTATTGCCAGGAGCCTTCCTGGGAAGAGTGCGCTTGGCTTCCAGTTCCCCAGGGGCTGCATGTGCTTCTTATCCTGCCAATGTGCTGCATTTCTCGTGTTGCGATTACTTTTGTCTGTCCCTCTGTCCTCCCAAGATGATCACCGCAAGTATGGCCCGAGGTGGGATGCCAATAAGACCACGGTTCCCGCCCACCACTGCTGTCTCTGCCACGCCTCCAAGCACCATGCCTTTGGGTGGACCACAAATGCCTCAGGTACTTCGTGGAGCGGAGTGGGTTGTGGTTGGGGGTCTGTGCGAGAGCTGATTGGCTGCTATTGGCCTGCACTCGGAGCAGCTGTTGCAGGGGTGGGGGAGCACATCAGACGGATGGCAGGTGCCACCTGGGAGCCGACATGGGAATGCAGGTGAGGCGAGAAACTGCACCGGCTCCCATGTGAGACGATGATGCTGGCATCCTCAAAGCACGCGTGGTCAGTTTGGGGGGAAGTCCTGGGTGGGATTTTCATTGAGGGGTATGACTGAAGGGAGTCTTTTCTATCCCAACAATTCAAGTTGTTCCTCAGCTCCAGATTCCCTCCTCCGTCTTCTCTTAAAACCTAGAATTCAGCCCTTCTGCCAAGATCTGGCATCAGCAGGGGCCCTCTGCCCCATTTTACACTTCTTTCAATAAGTTGGAAGGAAAACGAGAATTTTACACATCAAACTCAAGCTCCTAGAGCTAAAAAGAGTAATTTTCTCAGGTTTTTATCATTTTGGCAGACTTTCTGCTGTACAGTCCAAATCTTCGCAGAACCTGCACCTAAGAGGTTCCATTTTTCCATTGCCTTGGATTCCGGGGGCATCAGAGGGGGGGAAATAGAAAGCTCCAAGGGTGATTAGCCAAGAACAGCTTCCGGGCTGGTGACTTTGCTTCCAAAATTGCTTCCTCTTCTCTATCTTCACGCTTGGTATCCTGTGAATGAGGTCATGAAAAAGCTGGGAAGGGTCTTGTTAATTGGGCTGTTTCTGGGCCCATTTCTCCACAGAGCCCTTGGTGAGGCTTCTTCAGGTTGCTAGCCAGCGGCTGCCTTGATTGACCCCACTTTGGGTCAGAAGAGCTGCACCCTCCTTTCCCGGTGTGTCTCCCCTCCCCCCTTCTGCTTTTCCTGCCTTTTTATTGTGCCAGTGCTGAGACCCTTGCCCCTTCCTCCACCCTTATTCAGGTAGCCATCAGGTTGCAACCAGTTACCTCATTGGCTAGGTCTCCTGGTCTTCCCCCCACCCCACCCCCCACAGCAGCAGCCCTTCTCTCTTCCTCTGGTTTTTCCCATTCTACCAGGCGGAACTGAACCTGGAGATTAAACAATGAATTTACTACCTGCAGAATGTTCTGCCTGGCCAGCCATCCATGCTCATCAGTGCTGTAGCATCTTTGCCAAGTGCGATTTCTGAAAAGTCCATTCTGTCCTTTTAGGCTGGGAAGAAGCTGCAATAAATTCCATTATCTCCTCTTTGAGAGTTTCCCTTTCCAGAGCAGCTCCCAACTAATGGCATTGTTGTGTGGTGAGGATGGAGGATGGATTTGTTCAGGGGTGGCTCCTTGGCTTTTGGTCATGAAAATTGCTTCCTGTAAAGGCAGCTGAGAGGCCTAAATGAGGAAACTTCTAATCTGAACATACTTTGCGCTCAAAAAAATCTGCCGCCAAGTAGTGGGCCACATTCCTGAGAGAAGAGAGTTAAGATTGGCATGTTTTGTAAGTCCAGGCTGGAGGCTCCTAGTGTGAGGCTCCAAATAATGCACCCATCATAAATGACACCTAGTTAGTGGAAAGCTGAGCCCTGGCCAGGGCCCAGCCATTGTGCTCTGGTAGAAATAGGGGTTGGTGGGCACTGGCAGTTGCCTGCTGGGCTTTCTCTGGCTGGCTGATCTTGTCCCCAAGGGTCCTTAAATGCCCCTTTAGTTGTCAGTGAACCTCGGTAGTACTAGAGTGGAATCTTCTTCTATTGTGGATTATGAGGGAACCAAGGAAGCAGCCTTTAAAAATTGGATAGGATTTGGGAACCTTCGGCTAATTCTGCACTTGATGAATGGCAGTTTGTGAATTGGGCAGCCATATCAGTCAGCTAACTGAAGGCTACCCACTAATGCCAGTTTATCCTAGTCCCTCTCGGATTAATTACTCTGAGACCCACTCAGACCCAGGAAGTGCAGTGGGGTCATAGGAGACATAAATTGGCTAATTTCCTCACTCTCCAAGGATTTTCAGTCTGTTTTATGTACTTGCTTTGTGCAGCTGAGGAAATAGTTCATGGTTCCCTAGTAATGTTGGGGTTCAGCTGAGATGGCACCTGCCTGTGGATCTCTGCCACAAAGACCCAAAGGAGAGGGGCTCCTGGGCCCCTTTACCCGCTGGCCTGAACGTGGGGCCCAAAGGCTGCCAGCTCTGCCGAGGCCTCTCTTGCCAAAGATGGACTTTCTCTTCCAGGTCAACCAGAGCAGTATCACCATGATGTCTTCTCCGTCTCCTGTCCAGCAAGCCCAGACACCCCAGCCAATGCCTCCCCCACCTCAGCCACAGCCTTCTCCTCAGTCTGGGCAGCCCAACTCCCAGCCCAACTCCAATGTCAGGTGAGGGTTGGTCTTTCGATGGGTGGCTCCTCTTGAGGAAAGCAACCACCACTGGCCTGTCTCTGCTCCGGGCGTGAACTTTCCTCTTCCTCCTCTTCTAGTTCTGGCCCAGCCCCGTCTCCCAGCAGCTTCCTTCCCAGTCCATCTCCGCAGCCTTCGCAGAGCCCAGCAGCTGCCCGCACACCGCAGAACTTCAGCGTCCCATCTCCAGGGCCGCTTAACACACCAGGTAACATGCATCGCTTGAGGCTTCTTCTAAAACAAGTGTTTCCACGGTGGATTCCTTCAGAAGGAGGTTTCTTGGCAGTGGGGTTTTGCTATTGTTTTAACCTGGCCAGGTCAGAGAAGGAGTGATTTTGGGAGTTGAATAACAGAAGGACAGAGTTGGAGGGTGTTCTAGTTCAACTTCCCGCACAAACAAGTCACCCTATATCCGTAATGGCGAACCTATGGCACATGTGCCAGAGGTGGCACGCAGAGCTCTTTCTGGGCATGTGCAGCGTCGCCAGCTGCTCTTCTGGGTTCTGCCGAGCTCATGCACACTGGCCAGCTGCTCTCTTCCGGGTTTCAGTGTGTGCATCTGTGTGCACTCCAGTTTCGGCACTGAGTGCCGAAAAGGTTAACCATCACTGCTCTATATCATTCCGGAGATTAATTCCACTGATTAATTGTTCTCGCTATTAAGGAAATTTCTCTTTAGTTCTAAGTTGCTTCTCTCCTTGGTGTCAGGCCTGGAGGCCATCTTTTCCTTTGGATCTTCAGGCCTGCCATATTCAGTGGTGTGGGAAACTGGGAGGGGGGATTGTATGGAGCTGGGGAGAAAGGTAGTCAAAATAACATTCCTTTCTTTGAGAGTCAAGGCCACTCTGCCCTGCACCTGGAGGGGTGTGACTGGGAAGCATCTCCAGTTGGGACAGTGCATTGATTGGACAATGTGATGGACATGTGGGTGCAGGGGAAGGGACTTGGACTTTCTTTTGGGTAGGGAAAACAAAGCTTTCAGATTCGGGTTTTCCCAGATGTGCCAATATGATATCTCGAATAAAATGGAACTTTGAGGAATCTCATGCCTCGGAGTTTTCTTTCATTGGAGGTGTTCCTTGGAACCCTAACATTAAACTGAATCCCCTTTAAAAAACTTCAGCCAGCTCCCTGAGCTTTGGGGTGTTGTCCGGGGTCCGGAGCCCCAAACATCGACCTGAAGCCAGGTGGTGCAAAGACTCAAGGAAGATGGAGGAAGGCAAGAAGACCATGGAAGGAACCACGGGGAATGGTTTGGCAATTTATGTCAAGACCATCTACTCTCCTTCCTAAACCGTGGTGGAAGTGGAGGAGGCGCCGATAAGGAGCACCAACTGGGTGCCTGACCCAAGGAGCCAGCGACTGAATGAGCTGCACAACCGGATTCAACCCTGTGGGGTGAAGCTGTGGGATCCATCCCGCTCCAGCAGATAGTGACCGGAGCAACCGGGACAGGGTTGTTGGAACCACAGATGGGAGCAGGCAGAGCGGAACAGATCTCAATCCTCGAGTGGAGAAAACCGGGCCAAATGTGCTGCAAGCATTCCAGAGAGTGGGGATCACCGTCACACAGCCAGTCGCTAGCTGGTCTCCCAGAGCAGTTTGGCCAACTCAGTGTAAGCAGCCCCCCTCAGTTACAGGGGACCGAGCAGCCGAGATGGACTCTGGCGCAGCCAGCGTTCACCTTCCCAGGTTGGGAAGCCATAGTACCACTGAGTGGAGCATCCACGTGTTTCCATTCGGCAAGAAGCAGTTCATTTCACAACCTCACACATTGAGCCCAACCTGCCAGGATGATGGTCACCCCAGTCCTGGGAGTAACCCAACAGCAGAACCTATTGAACCAGCCTGGCTCAGTGCTGCAAGGGCCACAGCAAGGACTCTGGGGGCCAAGGGCTCTTCACCAGCAACCAATCATCAGACTGCCTCCAGTGGACCAGATCCCTCTCGGATGGGCATTCTACCCTGGGCAAGGGTGGGTGCAATATCAGTGGATGCCTGTCCCGATCCTGCAGCCGGTGCCCATCCACCAAACCGGGCACCTCCAGCCATAGGTCGTAGCTCCACAACAAGTGCCGGTCCAGTCACCGTTGCAGCTTCAATCGCCGGCTATGGCCAGCAGATCTGTTCCAGCCCAGTGTTGTGGCCCACCAGTGGCCAGCAAATCTGGCAGCAGATTTGGACAGTGAGGATGTTGGGGAGAAACATGGGCCAATCCTGGAGTATGGGGAAGACTCTGATGAGGGCTCTGCGTCAGAGGTAGAGATGGGGCCAGGGCTGTCTGACAGTTGTCAGCTGCCTTCGGAGTCTGACATCAGTGAGGCAGAACAGCTGGATCCTGTTCCCAGTGTGCACATGCGCAGAGCTGCCAGGAGAAGGGAACAGCTAAGGAACAAGGGTTGACTCAAGAGTAAAGCCACAGGTGGACAATGAATGGCCCCTCCAATAGGGAATATAGAGGAGCGAAGGGGAGGAGAATTTGCAGGAGACAATTAGTTCAATTCATTAGAGTGAGGATCTGTTCCTGACTTCTTGTCAAGTATTATCTGCCCCAGCATGGCGTTTGGAAGATATCGACCTGGCAGCTCTCCAAGCCTGATCAAGGTCTGTAGTTGTGAAATCTCTGGAAAGATTGTTGGCTGGGACTTTGCTTGAGAGCAATTCCCTTTAAACTAAATAAAAGGGATTTTATCAGGATGAGGAGACTGCTTCGTGCTCTTGAGAGGCCTAGGTCAGAACACCAGCAACCAGCGCCAGCCCAGCCACCATTGCAGCTTCAACAGCCAGCCATGGTCCAGCAACAGCAAATTCCAGCCCAACAACTGGGGCCAGCCCAGCAACCTGCACAGCTGAGCCAGCGGATCTGCCAGTCACGCTCCCCCCATGATTCAGGGCGATGTTTGATGGAACCCCAGGAAACTAGCCTACTTCCTCAACCGAGTCTGGGCTTACATTGACCAGTATGGGAATCATTACCCATTGGATCAGGAATTGATCTCTGCAATCGCAGACGGCATGAACGAGGGCGAAGCATTGGAGTGGATAGTGGAAGTTCACAATGAGGAAGCCCCTGAGCTGGAGGATGCCAATGAATTCGTCCAACTGATGCAGGCCCACTTCGAAGGCATGGCCCACAGAGTGGAGGCTGAGGCCCAAATCAAAGTTCTGAAGCAAGCGAGCCGACCTCCCAAGGAATTAATCTGGGAGTTTTGCAGACTGGCTGGGAAACTGAGGGACTGGCCGGAGTGCCTACTCATCCACACCTTCAAGAAAGCCCTCGACCCAGAGCTCCAAAACGCTTGCAACATCCATGGGGTCCCAGATCACATACAAGCATGGTACAACACTGCAGTAGCCATAGATCCCACAGGAAGCTGGCTACTGAAAAACCAGCGATAAGACCCTTGGGTCGGTCAATAGACTGTGCGATACAATTCGTGCTGAGAGCCAAGCTGCCAAAACCCAAGATGTATTACATGACCCCTAAGGAAATGCAAGAACTAAGGAAATACATTGATGCCAATCTGGAGCGGGAGATTATCCAACCCGTAAAATCCAAAATGGCAGCTCCTGTACTGTTTAAAGAAAAGAAAGATGGGAGCGGTGAGACTTTGCATTGATTTTCACAGAATTAACGCTGTGTCCATGGAGAACACCTACCTCTTGCCACTCATGAAGGACTTGCTAAATCACTTAGCCAAGGGCAAAGTGTTCACCAAACTAAATTTGAGAGAAGCCTACTATCGCATAAGAATCAAAGAAGGCGATGAATGGAAAACTGCCTTTTAACTGTCCACTTGGCAGTTTCCAATTCAGAGTCATGCCATTTGGCCTGCAAGGAGCCCCCGCAATCTTCATGCAGCTAATAAATGAAGTGCTACATGAGCACTTATACAAAGGGGTCATAGTTTACCTAGATGACATATTTATATTCAGTGAGAGCCTTAAAGAACACGTAAAGCTGGTGCGGCAAGTGCTGAAAAAACTCCTAGCCGTCAAACTCTACACCAAGCTGTCAAAATGTGAATTCCACGAAACTTCCCTAAATTACCTAGGTTACCGAATCCAGCAAGGGAGTGGAAATGGACCCTGGGAAAGTGAAAGCAGTGCTGGACTGGCAGCCCCCATGCACTTGCAAGCAATTTCAAAACTTCCTTGCCAACTTTTACAGACAATTCATCTCTGCGGTCGCCGAAGTAACTCTCCCCCTGACAGAACTGCTGAAAACTGGGGCCCCACCTAACAAGCTGCAGCCAAATCAACCCCTCGCCTGGTTGATGGATTGCCAAAGAGCTTTTGAGAAGTTAAAACTTCTCAAAGTTAAATCGGTTTCTTTGCAGAGGAACCTATCCTCCAACACCCAGGCCCAGAAAGGCAGTTCATCATCCAACTGACACTAGTGACATAGCCTTAGCTGCTGTACTCCTTCAAAAAGACCCACAAGGACAACTGCTACCTTGTGCATGTGTGTCTAAAAAACTCACCGACACCGAGAGGAAGTGGGCCATTTGGGAAAAAGAAGCCTACACAGTCTGCTGGGCCCTCCTCTCCTGGAGACAAAGAAGTACCTTTCGAGGTCTCCAGGAGAGATCACAAAAACCTTGAGGCCCTAAAAACCCCTAGAAAACTCTCCTAAACAAATCCGTTGGGCACAGTACTTTAGGTAGTTCAACTTTGAACTGAAGTACATCCCAGCGGGTAAAAACCTACTTGCTGACGCTTTGTCAGGAAGTCACAGTTTGACAGCCGCCAAGAAGAAGTTGTCCACGCCATCATGCTTCCCATATAACAAGCTGCACAAGTCACCACCAGAGGCCAAGTCAGACGATACCCTCACCATGCACAGGACAAGTTGACCGCAGCCCTCAAAAACCGCACTTCCAACTGACCCCTGGCTCACTGACAATAAGGACGCCTTGACCATGAGAGACGGGCTAGCATGGAAGAGATCCAAGCTGTATATCCCTGCTAGCATGAGACTGAAAGTGCTACAGCGCAGTCATGACTCAAAGCTGGCCGGTCACTTTGGATTCCTAAAAATCCTACATCTGGCTAGGAGGCAATTCTGGTGGCCAAAGATGAAAGCCGATGTGGAAGGCTATGTAAAAAGCTGTGTCACTTGTGCTGCCGTGAAGATGAGACTAGGAAAAACCCCTGGAGTCCTTCAGCAAGTAGCGACTCCCAGCACACCTTGGGAGGAAATTGCAATGGATTTTATAGTCGAACTCCGAGACAGTAGGGGAAACACAGTGATTTGGACAGTAATCAACTTATTTTCTAAGCAAACCATTTCACTGCTTGCTCCAGATTACCCTCTGCGAAGAAGCTGGCATCTTCAACAAAATGTTCATCAAGCAGATCTGCCAACTGCACGGAATACCCCGCCGGGTGATATTGGATCGAGGAGTCCAATTCATCGCTAAATTTTGGAGAGAATTCCTCAGATTGGTCAGATCTACAAAAGGACTTAGCTCGGCTTTCCATCCAAGTATGAATGGTGTGGTGGAACAAGTGAACGCAATGGTGGAACAATATATAAGATGCTATTGTGGATTACCAACAATAAAACTGGGTGGACCTCTTGCCATTTGCAGAAGTGGCCTACAACAGCGCAGTGCATAGCAGCACTGGATTGACCCCTTTTTAGGTCACAAGCGGCATGGATTTTGTCCCCATGCCCAAACTGCCCAGGGAACCACCCTCCTCCATGATTTTGACTGACTGGATGGAATTGTTGAAAAAAGGGTGGGAGAATACGAAGCAAGCGCTAGCAGATGCTGCGGAAGCATACAAGAAGCAAGCGGACAAACACCCATCTCTCCAGCCTCCCTTCCATGTGGGAGATCGGGTTTTTCTGTCAACCAAGTACATAAGACTGAAGCTGCCCAGTAAAAAGCTAGGACCTAAGTTTTTAGGTCTCTTCCCCATGGTGAAAGTAATTAACCCAGTGACAGTTCATCTTAGCCTCCCATCCTGTCTTCCATTGCAGCTTGCTGAAACCAGCAGTTGGGTCAAGGTTAAGACCACAGACCCGATCAGCTCCTAAAACTATAGTGGTACAAGGGGAAACCCATTATGAAGTAAAACGAATCCTAGACTCTAGATTATGTAGAGGGAGATTACAGTGCTTAGTTCATTAGAAGGGGTATTCTTTGTCTGAAGCTACTTGGGTTAAAAGCTGGGATTTGAAAGCAGACAGGTTAGTGAAGCAATTCCATGATAAATATCCTGATAAGCCAAAGGGTCCCCCTGGGGGGGGGGGAGGTAGTTAGGTGATAGTGCTTAACCCCCTATGTTGCTCTCTTGATCTCATTGCAGGATTCAATCATCGGATGAGAGGGGGCGGGCTGTCAGGCCTGGAAGCCATTTTGGGCATTGGCTCTTCAGGCCTGCCACATTCAGTGCTGTAGGAAACCGGGAGGGGAGATTGTATGGAGCTGGGGAGAAAGGTAGTCAAAATAACATTCCTTTCTTTGAGAGTCAAGGCCACTCTGCCCTGCACCTGGAGGGGTGTGACTGAGAGGCATCTCCAGTTGGGACGGTGCATTGATTGGACCATGTGATGGACATGTGGGTGCAGGGGAAGGGACTTGGACTTCATTTTGGGTGGGGAAAACCTGGAAGCTTTCAGATTCAGGTTTTCCCAGATGTGCCAATATGACATCTCTAATAAAATGGAACTTTGAGGAAACTCATGCCTCGGAGTTTTCTTTCATTGGGGGTGTTGCTTGGAACCCTGACACACTTGGTTAGTTTCCTGCTCCTGTAAGCTGCCTGAAGTTACAGCTGAACTGTATTTTAACATGATACGAGGAGAAAGTATCACCTAGTGACAGGAGACTAATCTTATTTAATACCTCACTTTGAAAGTAAATGAAATTCACTTTAATTTTCTACTTGATGCCTCTCCTTGGGCATCTGGCTTAGTATGATGGGGAGCTCTGGCCTGCACTCGATGGACTGAATGTGGCAAACAGGGCTGGTGAGGATGAGTCAGCCCCTTCCCCCTCCTCCTGCTCCTGAATCTTCAAGACCTGAAGCTAAGGGGGGTGGGGGGAGCTCTCCACTTGAACATGCTGCTTTTTGTCCCCCAAGGCAATCCTAGCTCTGTCATGAGCCCGGCCAGCTCCAGCCAGTCTGAGGAGCAGCAGTACTTGGAGAAGCTCAAGCAGCTGTCCAAATACATTGAGCCTCTGCGCAGGATGATCAACAAGATTGACAAAAATGAAGGTCTGGGTCCTTTTTTGTTGGGGTTTGTTCTGTGTGTCCGTCCTGTCCTTTCAGTAACTGGAGTGGGAGAGGAACTTGCTCTCCCTCCCTCCCTCCCTCCCTCCCTCCCTCCCTCCATCTCTCTCTCTCTCTCCACATATACACATGTTATTGAATTTCTATAAAAGAGAAAAAAATTAAAAGGAAAGAAATGGGGGAGAGTGCAAGGAATAAAGAAAAGAAAATGAAATAACTTCTGACTTTCTTCAATACAGTTAAAATTTAAAAAAACAGTAAGCTTTTGCTTTAAAATTCAATAGTACACAGTATTTCTGTAATCTGTGAACAGTTTTAATAATCAAATTTCAAAATTAAAGTTTTATTTATTTCAGTTTCAAGCGAAAAGTGCAAATGTGATTTCCACTATTTTCTAAAAAGTTCACCCTGTCATTCACTTGGCTTAGCATCATCAATAATTTTATTCACCTTGTCATTTTGCTTTGCCAGAGTCTCAAATTTAGACTTTATAAATTTTGTCAGTTTAAATGTAACTTCGTCAAACCTGAATCTAAAACATGCAATTTCATCCAATCCTTAATGCTGTGATTTTTTTTACAGCCATGGTCAATAGCGCACCCTTTGCTTATAAATCCATGACAATCAACACCGTTAATCAAAGGCAGCCCTCCAGTGTCCGAAACATAAATTTCATCTGGCAATGCCACTAGAAGTAGAGAGGGGTAAAGGAGGTAATAGAAAACTTCTCTAGTTACCTTTATATTATTAATCCAGACCAATCAGCGCAAGGGAGATGGAGGAAAAACGTTCCTACAAGGCCACTATCGGGTATTCCAGGCTTCAGTCCCACCTGTGGCAAATCTGTTGTGGAATTGGAGCCCGGAATTACCTGACATAGGTAAGCTCCATCCATTAAAAAAAAAGTTCTCTCATTTCTTAAAAAAAGGCGGTAATCCATTTTTTTTTCTTGTTTGTTAAATGTGCAAATCCCAAAATCCATGTCCAGTTTTTATATTATAGCCAGAGAAATACTGGAAAAGTCCCAACAGAAATGCTTAACTATATCTGAAGAAAGTTTCTCTTCTGCTAAAAGGTAATAAACTGTCGAAATGGGGAGGTGGGCTCTGAGGTCCCATTGAATCTGGTCACGTCCAGCTCCAAATACATTGGAAACGCCGCCTCTCAGCCACTCAGTTCACCTGCAGATTGCAGATCAACTCCCCATGGATCAGTTTCCTGGATTCTCATTGGATTCCAGAGAATTTTTCAGACTGCCAGTTTCCAAGGGAACCGCTCAGTCTGACATTTCTCCACCAGAAGGTCCAGGCTGGGAGAAGAAGAGCTGAAACCCCCCTCCCCCCACACATTTGTTGGTTGGACTCAACCAGCGGTCGGAGCCTCTGGGTAGGATGTGTGGCTGCTCCTCAGCAGCCGTTGAAAGGTCCCTGGGTCCCTTGAGAGCATCTATCGGTGAACTGAGATCACAGATTCTTACTCGGGGATCTTGTAGAATCAGGCCTGCATTGTCAGATATTCTTCATCTTGGGAGGTTAAGAGGAAGAAGCTGGACTAGTTCCTTGGAGAGCTGCAGAGATGAATGTGCCCAAGGTCCCATGAAGGAGCCATCAGCCTCTTGCTGTTGACTGCTGTTCAGCCACCACTTTGTCCCTTTTACTTTGTCGCAATCTTTTACAATTTTACTATAATGGCACTCTTGCAGTTGTGCCCTCGCAAACTTAGATATTAAATTTGGCTTCTTCACCATCTTGGCCGGCTGCAGAGGAGATCTCCTCAGTCCCAGTGAAGATCTGATCTTTGGTGCTGGAGCTGGTGGCCAGGCCTTCAATGGTGGGATTATGTTTTGCCTGCTGTTTTTTCTGACTCTGTTGTGTTTGGGGCAATTCTACATTTTCTTTCTGAGTGAAGGAAAAGGACTGAAGGCTACCCAGTAGTCACGGTCCCCCTTGTTTTCTTCTGACGGTTTGGTCATCCCTGCCTTTTCCCATTCAGACAGGAAGAAGGACCTGAGCAAGATGAAGAGCCTGCTGGACATTCTGACGGATCCTAAGAAGCGGTAAATTCTTGGCGGTTGCACATTTCCCTCTGTGAGTCTCTGCTGCCATGGGGATCCTCCCTTGCAATGAAGCACTTGAGGGGGGCTCTGCTGTTGGCTTTCCACCTGCCCCTCTGGCTATGGGCCTCCATTGTACGGTCAGTCCCAGCATTGCACAGGTGTTCTCAGCGACTAGCAGCCCCATTGCAGCTTTTGTTCTTCTCAGCCCCATGAGAAATGGGACCCGCATTCACTTCCCTGGCCAGCCAAACATCCTGATCCGAGAAATGTCTGTGCGGTTTCCGTTTTCCCCGGGAGGGAAGTCTGAGAGTCCCTTCTTTCCTTCTTAGCTGTCCTCTGAAAACTTTGCAGAAATGTGAAATTGCTCTGGAGAAGCTTAAGAACGACATGGCCGTGGTAAGTGAAGGGAGGATTTTCTCATCTTTCTAATATCCCATAATATGGCAGCCTATCCGTTCCTCAGAGCCTCGGGTTCTGCCCCTCAGTGAGGCTCTGAAGTTGCAGGTGAAAACGTGCAAAGTCCAGATTGATTGTGCAGGAAATGGCGGGTGAGGGGAGCCAGGCAGGCAGGGATCAGTCAGCCCGGAACCAAGCAGAGGACTCCCTTGGGTTGGGGCTGAGGCAGATGGTGAAAAACAACCTGATTGGAAAGATTCCCACTCTGATCCCAGTTACTCTCTTCTGTGTTGACGTGGGTGGGAAAGACGGGTCTCCAGAGAGTATCTGAACTTTAATCACTAGAAAGAGGGTCAAGAGACAGACTTGGCTTTTCAGTTGCCGTATTCTTTTTGCCTTTTTGCCAAGTTTAGGACCTGAGCAGGTAGAGGGAGCAACAAAGGTGCTTGGTTTATGTGCAGGTAATTGGTGTCTCTGTTGTATGCCAGCCCACCCCTCCTCCCCCTGCAGTGCCTGCCACAAAGCAGCAGTATTTGTGCCAACCGTTGCTGGATGCTGTCCTTGCCAATATCCGCTCACCAGTCTTCAATCATTCCCTGTATCGAACTTTCATGCCAGCCGTGACTGCCATCCATGGTCCCCCAATCATGTAGGTGTCATTTTTTCAACTCTTTAGGACAAAGCAAGCAAATTCCAGTGGTGGGAAGGTTTTGGGAAATTCAGCCGGGCTGAAGCATTTGGGAATCCTTCGGATTTTGCCACATTTTTTGCATAAATGTGACCTAAAAAACATGTCCTGTTCAGCTCTCAGGACTTGGCAGACCTTGTCTTAATTAAAAATAAGAAAAATAAAAATCAAGTTTGCTTAATTACGTTTACAGATAGTCCTTGACTTACAACCACAGTTGAACCCAAAATTTCCATTGCTAGGTGAGACAGCTGTTAAGTGAATTTTATCCCATTTTACGACCTTTCTAGCCACAGTTGATAAGTGAATTATTGCAGTAACTAAGTTACTAACACAGTCGTTAAGTGAATCCGACTTTCCCATTGACTTTGCTTGCTGGAAGATTGCAAAAGGGGATCATGTGACTCTGGGACACTCTGACCGCGGTAAATATGAGCCAGTCACCAAGTGTCCAAATTTTGATCACATGACCACAGGGATACTGCAACGGTTGTAAGTGTGAAAAACGGTCATAAGTCACTTTTTTCAGTGCTATTGTAACTTTGAAAGGTCAGTAAAAGCAATAGCACCTAGACTTATATACTGCTTCACAGTGCTTTACAGCAGTTTACCAAGTCAGCATATAGTCCCCAACAATCTCGGTCCTCATGAACTGTTGTAAGTCAAGGACTAGCTGTATAGCCGGATGCAGCCGTAAATATTTGGTTGTCTGGATGGGCCTCTCTTTGCCCAGGACTCCGGTGCCTTCCCCTCGGAAGCGGAAGTACGAAGACGACGAAAGGCAGACCATCCCAAATGTTCTGCAAGGGGAGGTGGCGAGATTAAACCCCAAGTTCCTCGTGAACCTTGATCCTGCCCACTGCAGCAACAATGGCACAGTCCATCTCATCTGCAAGATAGGTGAGTGGCAGAGACAGCTGTGGGGTGAGCCCACTGCAGCGTCTGACCCTCTAAGAGGGGGCAGCTGAAGTTGCTCAGACTTGGGGACGGTGAAGTAAGAAAGAAGGGTTGATGTGCAAAAAAGCTTTCAGGTTGTTTTTGCAAGATTTCCCCCCCCAAAACACACATGGCACCTCTGGTTCCAGATGACAAGAACCTTCCGAGCGTCCCCCCGCTGCAGCTCAGCGTCCCAGCTGACTACCCAGACCAGAGCCCCCTCTGGATTGACAACCCTCAGCAATACGGTATGGCATTGGCGGCTGGTGCTTGGGCTGGCTAGTTCCCTTCTGTGCTTTGAACCCCCATTCTGGCTACACCCTAAGCTGGTGGGGGAAAATCCTGGATTCACATTGCTGAGCCAAAGACTTTTCGGAATCCATATGATGCGGGGTGGGGGGGGGGAAGCTGAGTGGGGCAGATGATGTGAGGCAGAGAGCAGGTTAATGCTTCATTTTTAAAGAAGGAAGCAATAAGAGGAGGAACAGGCTTTCTAAGTTTCTACTCCTAATTATTCGGGGCACTGCAACGCACACAGTCTGTCATTGTGCCTTTTAATAGGAATAGGGACTGGAAGAGGGAATAGACTAGACTAGACTAGACCTTGGAGGTCTTCTAGTCCAGCCGCCTGCTCAAGCAGGAGAACTTATACCAGCGATGGCAAATCTTTTGGGCATTGTGTGTCAAAAGTCTGAGCGTGCGACCGCTGTCGCGCTCCTGCGTGCTGGCACCCATAATGCAATGTGCATGCGTGCAGGACACCCCCCGCGCTCCCCCTGCGCATGCACCCTGCACTGCAAATCCCTGAACATGTCCCCCCTTTTTCCAAGAGGCCAGCGTTCTCTTACCAGAGGACAACTAGGTACCGGCCCGTTCTCTGGTGAGACAGTTGTTCCCTGGCCAGCACATGGTGCTGCCAAGATGGTGGGGCTAAGAGCGCTGCCAGGGAAGCTCTGAACACATGGCTTGCCTGGGCTCCTTCCTGCTGGGAGCTGCCGTTCCCTGGCTGATGGCCGCTCTCTTGGCCCCGCTGGGGAAGCTCTGAACGCGCGGCTTGCTTGGGCTCCTCCCAGCATTCTGATGCTGCCAGCAAGCTAAGCAGATGTGGCTGGCAGGGCTTTGGTGGACCAGCAGCCGGTGAGCTCTGAACGCATGGCTTGCCTGGGCTCCTTCCCCCTGGGAACTGCCATTCCCTGGCTCAGCGCGGCACCTCCACCCAACCCCCATCACTACGCTGCCTGCGGTTGGGCCCATTACCCAAACCCCGTCACGCCCGTTGCTGCGCCGCCAGCTGGGCCAACGCTAGGGAAGGAGCAGCCAGCCACCCAGCCAGCAAATGTTTCCCCATGCACCTGAGCGGGCCAGTCGCTCTTGCTCTTTCCCCTGCAGCCTGCGGCTCCCAGCAGGAAGGAGCCCAAGCAAGCTGCATGTTCAGAGCTTCCTGTTGGGGCCGAGAGCACTTCCACTGTATGCTGCCGTTCCTTCTCCGGGGAAGAAGCGAGCTACCAGAGGAGCAGGGAGCTGGTTGGGCGGCCTCCTTCCACCCGGTTGGCCTGTTCGCCATGATGCTGGCGACAGCAGCGGCTTGCTTTCCTGCCCCGAGTATAAACTTTCCCCGATGCTTCCCAAACTTCAGTGTGGGCAGGAGGCAGAGAGGGAGGAGCAGGCAGCTGCTATGCCTCGGGACTCCTGGGAGAGGTGGCCAAAAGTTCCATGTGGAGGCCGCCAATCACGAGCCCTGGGGGCAACTGCTTCCAAGGGAATGGCTCGGCTACTTTGAAGCAAGCGGCCGAGAAGCTTCCTCGCCAAGAGACGGGCAGACGGATGCTGCGCTTGTAGGGTGGAGTGACACCACATACCTCCCTTTCCCCCTGGCTGACTCCGATCCTGACCCTATCTCTCCTCAGCCTCTTTCAGCTCTGGAGTTTGCCGCCCTCCGCAGCTCAGCGCTATTTTCAATCGGCAGCCGAAGCGGAGCTCCCAGTCTCCCCACACGCAGTGCAAGCAAGCGAGTGAGGCAAGAGCGTCTGCCCATCTCTCACCAATCACGAGCCACAGGGGCTTGCTCGCTTGTGCCTGTTTCCAAGGGAATGGCTCGGCTACTTTGAAGCGAGTGGCCGGGAAACTTCCTCGCTGAGAGATGGGCAGACGGACGCTGTGCTTGTAGGGGGAAGTGGCACCACACACCTCCCTTTCCCCCTGGCTGACTCTGATCCCGGCTCTGCCTCTCCTCAGCTCAGCGCTGTTTTAAATCGGTGAATGAGGCAAAAGGGCATGCAGCGTCCATCTGCCCGTCTCTTGGCGAGGAAGCTTCCCGGCCACTCGCTTCAAAGTAGCCAAGCCGTTCCCTTGGAAGCAGGCGCCCCTGGGGCTTGTGATTGGCAGCCGCCACATGGAGTTTTCGGCTGCCTCTCCAGGAAACTTCCTCACCGAGACAGGCAGATGGACGCTGTGTGCCCTCTTGCCTCACTCGCCGATTGAAAACAGTGCTGAGCTGCAGGTCATCTGCACAGGCAGCCCACCACCACCCCCCCACCTTCACCAGCTGCTGGTCCAGACTGCCTGGGGCCACTCAAGAAGCCCACACAGGCAGGGAGGGAGGGAAGCCCCGGCTTACCTTGCTCTGCGCCCTTTGGAGCGACCGCCAGAATCTCCTCTGCATCTTTTGGCACACACGCCTTTGTTGCTGGTGTTCGCACATGCATGCGCGCCAGAAATCAGACCAGCTGACTGGTGTGCATGCGCACTCTGAAACATCTTCTTGGAGCGCAAATGCGCAATAGGCAGCTGCTCTTCCGGTTTCCGGCCTGCCGGTGCGCATAAAACCCAGCTGGCCAGCGCACCGGAACCTGGAAGAGCAACAGGCGATGGCTCCGCATGCCTAGAGAAATGGCTCTGCGTGCCACTTCCGACACACGTGCCAGATTCGACCACATGGACCTATACTATTTCTTCTTGTAACATTGTCTCCCTTTGCAGAAGCAAACCCTTTCCTGCAGTCGGTGTATCGCTACATGATGTCCAAATTGTTGCAGCTGCCAGACAAGCACTCAGTCACCGCCCTCCTCAACACCTGGGCCCAGAGCATCCGGCAGGCCTGCTTGTCTGCTGCTTGACCAGCCAGTCTCGCCAGCTGGGCACTGGAAGCAAGAGCCTTCATGGGCTCAGACCTGGCTTTCCTGCTTGCATTGCTTCTGCCTTTGGTGGCTGGCCAGGCTCTTGACGCCCATGGGAATTTACAGTTTTCAGGGGAGGGTTAAAAATGCCTTTGTAGAGAAGAGCTTGGGAAAGCGAACTCGGTCCCTCGTGGAAAGATGGACAGCTGGTCCAGCGTCAGCCCTGCCCTCGGTCAGCAGGAGGACCCACTGCGCTCTGCTTCTCACAAGGCATCAAGTGGGGGCTGGCGAGGGTCTGCCAGGGATCAGGACTGTTGGTTCAGGCAGAAACTCCTGCTTTCAGCGCTCCAGCTGATGTCTCTGACATTTCAGTTTCAGGAATGGGACTGTTTGGGCACAGTTCTCCACCTTTCTGAATGTTGGCATTGTTAAAACAGCATCTCGGATGCTGCCCCTTCTGTCAATCTCTGAGCACTCTGCCATTTTGAAGATTTTCAAGTAATTACTTTGCAAGTTGCTGATTAATTGTAGTACAACAGGCGCGATCTTTCAGACATGAATCATTGCATTTGTTTTATTGTAATAAATCTATTGTTACAGTATTTAACACCCAGCCTTTTTTTGCCAACCCACATTTACATTTTCACAAAGCCCTTTGATCTAAGCAGGCTCGCCTGTGTTGGGCCTCCAACTGTGATATGGAAGACGGAGGAGACCGCTGCTTTTGAAGGCAAAGCAGTCTTAGCAATTAAGCACTATAACTGTGGCTGTCTGTAGTGCAGCGAGCATGAAAGTCGGCATACATACAAAGTCTAACAAAAATCAGGTGAGGGGAAAAGGCCTCAGGAGCAGCCCAAGGGGGTCCCAAAGGCAGCTGGCTGCAGGGGGTCTCCTGGCTACAGGGCGGTCCTGTGCAGCCTGTTCCTCTGAACAGCTTGTGCTCGCTTCTGCCTCTCGGCAAAGGCATTCCCCAGCGTCTGCTTCAGGGCAGGCAGCACAGCTCTTTCGGCAGCGGGCAGTGGGGTCAGGATCCGGCTGGAAAACAAAGCAGGCCTGTTGATGGCCAACAGGAGACTTCAAAGGGTCCACCTTTCTTTAAGGGCTTGTAAAAGACTCGTTTTCAAGCAAAAGCAACTATTCTCTTGGCCTCTCTCAGCCAACAGGGATAATGCTCAAAAACACATTTTTATTGGGGTTACATCAAGAATACTGGGTTGATGTCAGCATTAATATGTTTTGGGACATGCCGATTGGATCAGGAAAGAGAGACTTGGTCAAAAGCTGCTTTCAGCTGTGCAGACCAAGCACACACCTGCATGCAGGTACATACTTCCAAGCAAGCAACCCAGCTCAAATTTTTTCCATTACTTCAAGGTCTGAAGTTTTTTTAAACTGCCAAATTAATATTTCCAAGAGGCAGAAAGTATAGCAGCGTATCTCGTCTTGCCCAGATGTAGTCAAAACTACATCATGTTTTTGTCTATGATCTTGCCTACATTTGGTATTTTTCTACAGGTAAAGACCAGAATTGGAAGTATTTCTGTTGCTGAATTGAGATATTTCAGCATGCAGTGGAGAATTTTAACTTCATAACCCTAATAAAGGGGGAATATTAAAAGGGCTGCTTACCATTTCTTTGGGGCGTTCCTCACTCTGGGCAACTTTGTGCTTTCCTGGCTCCTAAATGAAAGAGAGTTAGTTAGTTCCCAAAGGGAGGCATCTTGCCTGGCCCCTTGGCAGAGAGTTCCATCCAGCTGGCTGAACAGGACATGCCGTTCCACCTTGGCTCTTGTTCAAAGAGCTAGCAAAGAATGCCAGAGACCATGGGAGACTCAGGTGGGCTGGGAGGGGGGCAGGTTCTTCCCTCAACAATGATAAGCAGAGTGTACTTCACAAAGAAGCCCATGCATTGTGTGTGTGTGCCCTGCCCTGAACTTGCCATCAAAGTGGGCAAAACCCAATCTTTGCCTTTTCATCCTGATATCACCAAACAACTCCCAGGAAGAGAATTTAGTGGCTGTATTTTTCCAAGGTCCAATGGAAATTACTGTCAGAGAGCCAGCATGATCCAGGGGGATCCCTAACCATTGGAGCTCACAAGGTGCCTCAAGGCTGCTCAGCTCCCAATACAAGAACCAGGCAGGATGGGCAGTGGTGAACAGGCTGGGCTAAGAGGGTGGATCCAGTTCCAGCCTCTCCTTGGCTATGGATTTCCTCCAAGGGGGGGCGAGCCTCTCCCTCCCAGTCCAAGAACGAGTGTCTGAACTAGGACCAGGGAGGGTTGAATTGGCCAGAACATCAGCCAAGGCTTTTCTCAATCAGGTCGGTTCTCTAGGATTCTGTGAAGCAAAGCAGAATCAGTTACAGGGCAAGTAGATGTGGCATCTGACTTTTCTTGCTTGAGAAGGAAGAGATCCCATTTTCTTCAGTGCCGCATTCACCTGGGAAAAAAACTGGAGATTTAGAGACCAAAGGGTCTTCTTAGGATCCGAGACTTGTGTGAGGAGGAGTATTCTCTAAAATTTGAGAAGGCAATTGACATTAAATCAGCCCCCTCGAGGGGGGGGGGAGAAGTAACTGCACAAGGCTGACTTCAGATTCTCCCTTGGTGCCAGAAAGTGTGTGCCGGACCCTTCAACCTTCATCTCCGAAGCCAGCTTACCCAAGTTGACCAGCTAACATGTAATCTTCAGGAATTCTTTTGGTCTTGTGTATATCATCCAGGCATGATCTCAAGTACATCAGCTGCAGGAAGAGAGAAGAAAATGGCTCTCATGGGGCCCTTCCTGCCCAGTGCATCTTTGGCACCACCAGTGAGCAAAGGCCTCACCTCTTGCATCTGCATGTGGTTAATATTCCACAGCTGACGAATCACCACCTCACATTCCTCCAGGCTGGGGGGCTTCCGCATGTAGGAAGGAAGCACGTTCACCAAGAAGGGGTTGGAAGACGCAGACGGGATTTTCACATCTCCAGCCCTGCTCTGGCTTGCTGGGGGATGAAGCACAGACATTGGCGACGTCCCCTGGTCGTAGACAGCAGCGTCTCTGCAATGTCAGGCAGGGCAGGAGTATCAATCACAGCCTCCAGGAGGTTCTCAAAATCAGGACTCCAAAACGTAGACTGTCTAAAAGGAGTGCCAATCACCATCACTCCCTTTCTCACAAAAGCTCAAGTCATTACAAATGTGGACAACAGAACAACAATATGTGTTAAATCATGGAAACGAAATGTTAATAACTTTCCTGCAGTACAAAAAAAATAGCTTAAAATGAATATAATTATTTTAGTTTTCTTGTATTACCAGAAAAGAGGACTCAAATTAAAGATTAAATCTAATCAAATTTAGGTAACCAATAAGAATGATCTAGACAGAATGGAATTCTAATCCCCTAACAGACAAAATCATTTCATACTTTAAAATATGAATATATTATGTAAAGAGATTTCTAGATCGATGTCTTTAAACCCTGAGGCAAGTTCAGTAGAACGAATGTGTTCCCTAGAATATTATGTCTGGCATGCAAGTCCTGTATGTGTGTGTGTGTGTATATATACACACATGCACAAAATACTTTCAAATTTAAATTCAGATATTTAATATGTTTCATAAATTCCAGTGAGGAACTTCAATTCCAAATACATTTTTTAGAAAGATGCACCTATTGGATGTTTCCAAATCTTGTCAGATTTTTTCCAATCTTGCTGTATATCATTTTATATATTTGTTAGCCACATCTGTTGGCTAGGACTAAATTTGGGACAAACTGCCGAGTGGCCATTTTCCTTCTGGGCTGCCTCCAAAACATTTATATGTTACATGTTAAGGATACTCTTGGAATGTAAAGTATAAGGTCCTTTTATCATTACAATGATTTCATGACTTCCAGAAAAGCACTATCATCTTATCTCAAGCTAAATTGATGCCACAAACTAACCCACATTTCAGAAATAATTTTAAAAATGAATATATGAATGAAAGAATATTCTATCTGGATAGAAGATGGGTTTAAGTTGTGGATTGGTTTTGAGAGCAATTGTGCTTTCTTCATTTTCTGCTGCAAAGGACAAATGCTTGCCCCAGATTGGCCATTACAGCATCTCCAGGCACCTTAATTGGAACGTGCATCATTTTCAGCCTTCAAAAAGCATAATCTACCCCAAGTGTCAATTAAATCCTTTGTCAACCTACAATTACTCTTCAGGAGAGTCTGGGGGAAGATATGGTGGTTTTAATGGCCAAATGGAGTAAAAAATGAGAAATTCCTATTTTTTCTGGGCAGTGGAAAGAAGTGGTAACATCAAAGAAACCACTGATGGTAGCAAAAACTTTAGTAGAGAATAAATGATGTCTACTTGGACAAAAAGCAATTTGTCAAGTTGTTGGAAATCTGGGGAATTCAAACCTCCTTATTCTGTACTCAATTTCTGCATAATATTCCATGCATTTACTCAATATGTAGATGAGATTTATCTCCAGGCAGTTCTTCCCTTGTTGGGAGAAAAGAATGGTTGCTCCCATCTTTGGAATGGAAGCCTGCAGTAAGTTTAAGCATTGTGCCAGGATTGGATGTCCGAGTGCCTCCAGCTAAAATTCATCACTGAATGCAGGGGGAATGGGACAACTTGCCACAGTGAGTTGCTGCGGCCAACTCACCATGACCAACTTGGCACGGGAAAATTTTAACAATTCTATTTAATTATGTAAAATATTTTAATTTTTGCCATTCACATTTCATTGTCCCTCCTTTTGCATCCTTTCTTTAATGATTCTATTCCACCAATTCTTTGATATTAGTGTAACTCGTCCTGTAGCGAGTTGTCCTGGTGGCCGTGGTGGGTGTAATTAGACCCGAATGCAGGTTGCTTCTGGCGACATGAGTCCTCTTCCCCTCTGATCCAAAACAGTAAAGATGAATATATGGGTTTGAAAAAGAATGAAGTAGATAATTTCTGACAGCAACTTATCAGTTCCACATGAGAAAGGGTAATGAACTGATTCAGAAATTGGGAGTATTGGGAGGTTTGTGCATTTGAATTGCTCACATGTAGATGACAGAAACGAAAGCTTGAAGTGAGCAATTGTCACATTATAAAAATGAAGGTGAGGAATTTCTTCACAGCATCGTAACAGCCGACAAAACAAGGGATCATTGTTAGGACCCACAAATAAAATGCAAGTCCATGGAATTTCATCACAAAGCTTCACGTAAGGGGGAAAAGAAATCAATTTAGGATTATATACTTTTTGAGATGGCAGATGGTGTTCATCACATAAATTCTCTGAATCTGACACCTCCATCACCGCAGAGTTCTCTATTTTATGGCTCAACACTTTGAAATGATTAAACGGAGTTTGTAAAGGAAAGTTAATTTTGCTGCCACAGAATGCCAGGCCTCACACTTGGTGAGCCACCCAAGACACAAATTTGCATCTTGCTGGCTTCCTGCAACCACCACACAGCTCAGATGTGACACCACAAGACTTCCACCTGTTCTCAAAATGGAAGGAAACCTTCCTAGGTATCTACTGGACTTGAGTGAACAAACAGTGGCTGGAGTTCCTTTGTGATGGTTTTAAGAAACATGGCCATCAGGGACAGAAACGTGTAGTGAATAGAAGTGATGGTACAGAGAAATTTTCCTATTTACATATTGAAATATTCCTGATTAAGCTAATAAGGGCAGTTAGACGCAATACTTTTCAATCAACCCTTGTATATTGCTCCAGCTAACTTAAGGGTCTGCAGAGTTTATGTTATTTGTGATTTCTGAATGTGTTGGATCAGCGATGGATGATTATGATGAACTATGATTTCCATTCCCTGAATAGATAGGTGAATAGATGCTTTTCTGTTTCTTCTTTATAACTTTGCGCATATTTCTCTTTCTTTTTCATAATCAAAAAAAGCATAAAGAAAAACGCCCGCCTGGAATTCCCAGCCGGCCCCTCCACCCCCAGCCCTCTCTCGCGGGCAGCCGAAAGCCGCCGGGGCTCCTTTTCTGCCGGCCGAGAGGCAGCACCTCCCGGCCAGCAGCCTAGTCGAGAAGCCTCGGTTCCCACGGACAAAGCCAGAAGTTGCCCAGCACAGAACAAGAACTCGCTGACGCCCCGCCGGCTCAGTGCAAAGCCGCCCCCGACTTGGGGGTAGCGGGGCCACTTTCCTCCTCCTAGGAATGGGCGCAGGGGGCGAGCCGAGCATCTCCCCTTCCTCTGCTCCCAGGGCAGAAACGGAGCGGCCGGCCGGGCTCTCCCACCTGGCCGAGGTTGCCGCCGCCGCCGCCTCCTGGGTCTCTGCAGTGAGAGCTTCGGCGCCCCTCTCCCACTCGGGGCTCCCCTCCGGGGCATCCTCCTCTTCGGCCAAGGCCTCGTCCTCGTCCTCGCCGGCCTTCTGCTCCGCATCTGCAAAAGGAGGAGACTTTTGCCGGGATGGCCTCTCGCAAAGCCGGCCGGGGGCGCCCCCCGAGCCCGCTGCGGTCTCCGGCCGGCCCAGCTCCGGGCAGGCCCGGCATCCGACGGCTCCGAGCTAGAGGGCGGCCCCTGCCGAGGACGGCCGAGAGGTGGGCGGCTCTGTCGGGCTTCTCCGCCAGCCCGATCAGAGACCGGAGCGAGGTTGTTCCGCGGCGGCTGCTCTCTGGGCGTCCGGCCAGGGAGCCCGTCGCAGCCCCTCGCGGGAGCAGCCGCCGCCCCGCGCCCCCGGCCGGCCTCCCGCGACTGCTCCGAGGGGGCAGCTACTTCCCGGCTCGCCTGCCGGCCGCCCCCGGGTAACCGCCGCGCCTACCTTCCGGCCGCCCCTCCGACTCCCTGTGGCCGCCGCCGGCCCGCTTCGCCTTGGCCCTGCGAGCAGAGGCGCCTTCGCTGTCCGCCGAGAGGAAGCCTGGCGAGAGCAGGAGAGGCGAGGGGGAGCTACGCAATGCAACGCCCCGCCCGGCCCCGCGCCCGCCCGCCCGCCCGCTCGCCCCGCTCGGTCGCCCACCTGCCTGCTGGAGCAGCGGCTGCATGATGAGCCGGTACTGCAGATCTGCAGGGAGAGAGGCGGGGGGCGGGGTCAGGGCGGGGGGGAGGTCAAGGCTGCCCCGCCCCGCGCCCCCCGCGCCAACCCCGCCCGCACCCTGGTTGCGCCGCTTCAGCCGGTCGACCTCCTGGTGCAGCTGCCGGAGCGTCTCGCCGTGTTGCTGCTGCAGGAACTGCAGGCTGCGCTCTAGCTCGGGGGCCGCCCGCCTGGAGGGGGGCGTGGGGGCGTCGGGCGGGCCGGGGCCGCCCGCCCGCCCGCCCCGCTCCGCCTGCCCCGCACGCGGCCAGTGCGGCAGGTGGCCGAGCGGCGGGAAGCCAGAGCCCTGCATGCGCTACCACCGCCCGGGGCGCATCGCGGGAAGCCCAGCAGGCGCCGCTCGAGCCTCACTCGCTCGACTGCCGCCGCGTCCCCGTCGCCAAGGAGACCGGGGGCGCGCGCAGGGTCTGCGGGGAGGGGAGGGGCCGTCTGCGCGCGCTCTCCTCGCGGGGCCGCCGAGCCTGGAGCCGCCAAGCAGGGGGAGCCCCGCCGACCGCAGGGCTCTCGGGCAGCCCGCGCAGGTTGGCTTTCCCTGCTCTGAACGCTCAGAAACCATCCGGCTCCCGCTGGGTCCTCCCAGGGCCTGACGCTGCTCCTTCTTGGCCTCTTGCAGCTGGATGTTCAACTGCAACCACAGCCTCATTTCATGGCTGGACCAGCACAGTAGACTTCACTCTGAGCAGCTCCTTTAAAAACCCGCTTTAAGGCAGGATTGTGGCCGGGTGCCAACAGGTGAAGGCCAACTCCGCAGTCGCACCTCTTCAAGGCTTGCGATTGGTTGCTTCTGCGGAGCCTTCATGGCCCCTCCTGCTAAACTCTTCGGGTTGACCTGCTCCAGGTAGAATTACTTGACCCTCACTTTAGACCTGTGAAGGCACCTTGTGTAACTTCCATGGAAGTAACGCAGGAGACTTTCCTTCCCTCTTAGCCAGAGAGCAGAACAATACTCCCCCACCAGGCAATCAAACCTTAATTTCTGTGTTGTGTGTGTGTGTGTGGGGGGGGGGAATGCCACACCTTGCCTGCTGGCCTTAGACTTTTAAAGAATAGTCTTGTTTCTATGCTTGCTCTACAAACAGAAGCCTAGAATTTAAGTAATCAAACTCCCTCTTCATGACCACTATTTTGTATCCACCTAGTCCTCAGAACCGTGGTTTGCCCATTTTTCAGCCACTAATTATTTTCTGTTCATTCAGCCCCCTCCCCTTATGATGAATGAGGGCTGGTGTCAGAGTGCCATTATGCTACACTACATCTTGTTTGCTGTTAACAGCCTGCCATTGAAAGGGGATGGAGGGCATTGGGTGTATGAGGGAGGGTTGCCAGGGGATACCATGAGGAGATGAAACCAAGCCTCAAGACTGTCCCATGGGAAGCTCTGGCTGCTTCAAGGACGAGAGAGGAATGCCAGATGCAGAGACAGAGACTGTTTCCCAAAACAATTTGTTAGCCCCTAATTGGATGCTTCTTGATGGGGGTGGAGGGGGTCATGGAAAGGGTAACAATATACGCTGGGCAGGAAAACCTCAAATTCGCTTCTTATGGGCCTAAGAGTTTTTCTTTTCTAACTGACCAAGTTGGGACAGCCGATAGCTGGACCCAGGGCCGGATTTTCCTATAGGCTAACTAGGCTTCAGCCTAGGGCCTCAAGATCAAGAGGGGCCTACATTCAAATTGTTAGCAAAATTAAAATTACACTTTCACTATAGGTGAAAGGGTCTCATAAGCAGAATAGCCTAGGGCCTCTTTTCATCTAAATCCGGCCCTGGCTGGACCCCACCATTCAGCAAAGGACCCCCATACTTCTATTGCAAACCAAGCACCACTTGTGCAAGTGAAAGGGTCCTCAAAGGGCAAAATGAAGCCTGCTGAGTTGGAAGGCTGCGAGGAGACCAATGCAACAGCTGGCTGTGGGCACTGGATGGGGGTCCGGCTGCAGAAGCTGGCACAGCCCAAGCAGCCCTGCCATACTGGGGACACCAAAGCACATCAGGGCCCCTGCTTCTTTTGGCTTCCCCATGCCACCAGGAGTCTCCCAAGATCATGGTGTTTTTTTTTTAAAAAAAAAAACTTTATCAAAATAGAATGTATACACAGCAACAGTCTGACAGGCATAGAATTACACCCTCTGTGAACGCGCGATTAAAAAGACTTCTTCAGCACCCAGGAGAGCCTGTACCCCTAACTGAAGGTAGGGCTTACTCAGGCAGCTTTTGCTGTCAATGAAACTGTCTTTTCTCAGTCAAGACAGTCATCCCGCAGGCAAAGAGAAGGTATATCAAGAGGAGGAGGAAGGTGCAGGCCACTGGCCCAAGGCAGAACCAGGAGGCCATGAAGTAAACTATCAGTATGGAGAAGAGAGTCCTGTAGCTGGCCAGAAACCTCAAGCTGATTCTCGGCTGCTGAATCCGCCCCGAATGCCACTTGGTGCGTGGGCTGCGCTGGGAATTAGCCATCAGAGATGGGTTGGTAAGATGATAGCGACAGAAACTGCCAAGGAAATCTTCTCTAGCACAGAGCCTCTCCATCTGACTTCCAAACTAGAAGGGACCAAGATGAAATCAAATCAAGATGGGGGAAATGAGATTGAACCCTTAGCACGAAAGCCAAATGGGCAGACAACCCCCTTGTTCAGGGATGGCTAATTAAAGAATTTACTGCCATAGCAAATCGCTTAGCCAAAGAGCTCCCAGTGGCCTTGTCCAACACGCCAAGAACTTCTAGTCCCCACAATGAGATGCCAGCCTCATGTAGATCTACTCCGGTATCTGGACCCTGGCGGTGTGGAATGCGAAGGCAAAGGAAAGAAGGGCCGCTCAATGGCCTGGGAGCCCAGAGGTCCACTTACACGTTCATTAATGGCCAAAGACAGACGGAAAAGCAGACGGACCAGGGTGGTGCTTTCATAACTTCGGATTGGTTGAAGCTCTGGATCTCCCTGGTAATCTATCTGGAACTTGCGCAGGCCGTTGATGATCTAGTACAAAAAGGAAATCATGGATCTTAAGACACGAGTCACAAAAAGACAGCAGACCCGTTGTCCATCCCAGAAAGAACCTGCGGGAGTGCTGCTGCAACTCAGCCTCCCAGCTGAGCTGGACAACTGTGTGAATTAATCACATTCTCCTCACACAAGTTTTCCAGTAATTTTTCCAGTGAAATTATTTTTTAAGACAAGCAACCTCAAATCTCCAAAATAGCCCTACATCAAATGGCATCATAGGTTACTGGCCCCCTGCCTCTTGACTGTGGGGAAGACAGCCAGTCAATGTCAGGATAATGATCCTTCTTTTGGGCCCACCTAGACCTCCAGCAGGGCAGATCTTCTCTTCCAGCAAAGATCTAACTCCCGGTAATTGAGTGTCCTTTTTTTTTTTTTTTTTTTACTATTCCCCGCTTTCTTCACCCTTTGTGTGTGTACAGATATCTGTACCAGCAGAAGTGTGAAAATATTCAGTCCCAAGATGATACTGAGCTCTGATTATTGTAAACCAAAGAGCCTTGATGGTACAGTGGTCTAAGCACCCTGTTATTAACACAGCTGCCTGCAATTACTGCTGGTTCGAATCTCTCCAAGGCTCAAGGTTGACTCAGCCTTCCATCCTTTCTAAGGTAGGTGAAATGAGGACCCAGTTTGTGGGGGCAATAAGCTGACTTTGTATAAAATATACAAAAAGTATGAAGGCTATTGCTTAACACATTGTAAGCCGCCCTGAGTCTCCGGAGAAGGGCGGCATATAAATCAAATTTAAAAAACAAAACAAAACAAAAAAAAAAAAAAAAAACCACAGAAACGTATAGTTTGTGGACTGTATACTGATTTGAGACAAATCTTTATTAATTTATGTTTCAACCAGAATGTTTAAATCATGTATATTCAAGCGTTCTCTCATCTGACTTTGGGCTCCTGGTAGTTCTGGTGGTAGCCAAATTTCTGGCTGACATTCTGGAAAACACTATTTTCTGAATAATTTGTTTCCCATACAATGTCAAAATGTCTGTCATTTTCTTCTTTCTTATCTTTGTTCTTGAGCCCGTTCAATTTAACAAACCATCTACATAGTTACCAATAAATGTATTAATTTTACCAGGCACATAAAACAGCCATTTTGGAAAAAAAGGAAATGTGACTCCCCCAGGAAGGGACTCAGAGCAACTGAGCAACAAGAAGAAAAGTGCTTGGCCTTAGTGACAAACTGACTATCAACATCTCACCAGGCTCTGATGGCATCCATTAAGAGTTATTAAGGAGGTGAAAGCCGCGATTGTGCACTTCCTAACTGCCATACACAACCTGCCTCTGCAACTGAAGACCAGAAGGGAACTCGGCTTATGGGGAGACACAAACATTTTTAGGCCTGCTTGCTTAAAATCTGTTCCAAGAACATAGTGGAAATTGCTATAAACAATACAATTACTAAATAGAGAAGAGTAGAGTTGGAAGGGACCTTGGAGGTCTTTTAGTTCCAAGCTCCAAGCTCTCAAACAGAAGATCCTACACCATTTCAGACAAATGACTGTCCAATCTTTTCTTAAAAGCCTCTAGTGATGAAACTCCCACAACTTCTGAAGGCACTTCTGTTCCACTGGTTAACTGTTCTCACTGTCAGGAAATTCTTCCTTAGCATGGATTGTTTCTTGTCCTGCATTCTGGTACTTTAAAAAATAGAATAGACTGACACCCTCTTCTTTCTGGCATCCCCCCCAAATATTGAAACAGTACAATGTCACCCCTAGTCCTTCTTTTCACTAGACCATTCATAGCCAATTCCTGCAATCGTTCTTCCTATGTTTTAGCCTTCAGTCCCATAATCATCTTTGTTGCTTTTCTCTGCATTCTTTCCAGAGACTCAACACCATTTATATATCATGGTAACAAAACTGGATGCAGTATTCCAAGTGTGGCCTTACCAAGGCTTTATAAACCGGTACTAACACTTCATGTGATCTTGATTTTATCCCTGTGAATGCAGCCTAGGACCACCCTGGCACTATTCCATCTGTGAACCTTGCTCAAAAATACCTTTACTATCTAACTAGGGGTTTCTGAGGGTATCAGTAGACATGTGGATAAGGGTGATGAGCTATTAGGCATCACTGCCTGAAATTTTCAAAAAGCCTTCAAGAAAGATTCTCATGAAAGACTTCCCAGGAAGCTCAACAGCCATGGAAGATAAGCAAGGCAGGTAAGCAAATGGCTGCTGACTAACAAACCAAGAGGGAAAATTGACATTCTGAATGGCGCCTTTTAACCTATTCACAAATTATTTGGCCAAGTTTGCTGAAAGCTAAATTATTTGGGGTGGTAAAGATGATATGGGACCATGAATAGCTTCAGAGAGGGATCTCTGCATGTTGGAAAGTGGAAGTCAACATAGGCAAGTGTAAAGTGGTACATGGTGGTACCCAAAATCCCAGCTAGTCATCCAAACCGATGGGATCACAGCTAGGAGTGAGCGATGAGATCTCAGAGCAACAGTAAACACTTCAATGAAAGTGCTGATTCAGGGTGCATCTGCTGTCAGAAAAGCCACCCCCCCACGGGAGGGATAAGAAACGGCTGCACACCGAGAGGCCAGTGTCACAATGCCCTTGCGTGGATCTCTGGTGCAACACATCTGGAATACTGTATGCGGTTGTGGTTGCTGGGTCAGGCCTAGAGAAGACCAAGAGAAGCAGAACTAAGGAGGCCAAGAGCAGCTTCCCTGTAAGAAAAAGCTGTGACATTTGGGCTTTTGAATCCTGAAAGGTGAATGAGAGGAGACATGATGGAGATGTAGATGGTGTGGATAAAGGGGAGAAGCAGTGTTCCCTTCCCAGAGGTCGCCCAATGACAGGGAATCCTGGAAGAAGCAGGACAGATCAAAACAGACAAGGAGGTGGGAGAGGAACTGCACTTTCTCACTTGCAACATTCTGTTAATGTAACCTTACAGTCAAGTACAATTAACTAACCTGGTGGTCTTTCCTGCCTGGTCTACCTGGTAAGGCTGTCGATCCCTGTGCAGGTGATAGACCACTGGGAGAACAGCCTGCTGGACCGAATGGGCCAGGGTCAATCTATCAGAGCCCTGCTTACATTCTTATGTGCACTGCTGCTTTGCACAACTTCCTGAGCAGGTCACTGGCCTACCTGGTATCTTCCAAGAGGCGTGAGTGTTAGCCCATCTTCGTCCTCAATGCAGTCTGGCAGCAACTTCTTCCCGTTCTCCTCTGGAGCCCCTCTCCTGTTCAGGATCAGCTGGCTCAGCTGGGCTTCGTTCAACTGGCAAGAATCAAAACAGGACAGTCCTATCTATTACACGTCAATTGCATTGTTACAAGAGCAAATGTGGGAGATACCTAAATGCAAGATGTCATGGTTCTCCTTGAATTGTAAAACCAACAATTGTCTCAGAATTTGGAGAATTTGGCACCTGACTCAGTGGAAAGGTTACCACAAACCATCCTCTCCCTCTAAAAAATAAATGTTGGCAATTTTAATAGTGCTCTTTTCAAAATCCCTTCTGTTAATTAAACTGAAAAAGCTGCAAGAAAAACAAAGTGCAGCCAAAGGGAGGCTTCGCTCTGCTGGAATGCTTTAGCAGCCACTCACCTGCAGAGAAGGGGCAGCCCTCCCTCTCCCAGGACAGACTAGGAAAGTCCCATGAGCTCCATGAGTCAAAGCAGCCCAGAAGCCTCAGAGGCCTTTTCTTCAGCTGACCTCTCCAGCCCTGTCCAAGGAGGCCCACAAACCAAGGGCTGGAACAGGCTAACCTTTGTTAACCAGTGGCCAGGAGTTGAGCTGGATTTGCAGCATTGACTGGGGCTCTAGAAAGAGCCTAAAGAACTCAAATTCCTACCCGAAATATCTGACATAAATATTCCAGGGCTTTCTCCAAGTATTCATCCGTTTTTCGTATACTCTCTTGCCCCATTTCGTCCATGTCGTTCCCCAGGTAGGAGCCGTTCAGGTCACTCGAGCCAAACCAGAACCAGGAGAGGAAGGACTGGCCGGGGCCGGACTCCGCCGAATGGTCCGAGAGGGACCTGGCCGATTGCTGGGCCTGGCTGATCAGCTGGGCCAGTCGCAGCACCTGGATGGGAGAATGCCAGAGACAGGGTAACTCAGAAGACAAACAACCTCAGGCCAAGCAAAGAGCCAGGGACCCCCTCGGATAGATAGGAAACCAGGATGCAGTTCCCAAATGACTGGTTTCTGTATGTCTGCATCTATTATTATTATTATTATTATTATTATTATTATTATTATTATTATTATTTTGCTGCCCATCTCACCAGAGGGGTACTTTTTTTTTTTTTTTTTTTAATTTGATTTATATGCCGCCCTTCTCCGGAGACTCAGGGCGGCTTACAGTGCGTTAAGCAATAGTAATAGTGCGTTAAGCTACTTTGGGCAGCTTACAACAATAAAATGGGAAAAATGTAAAAATAACAATAGCAAAGGAATAAAACAATAAAAATTAACACTGGAAGTGCAATAATATTAAATGAAAGATGATGGGCGGAGGGGGAGGTGTGATCAGCAGCCTCCTCCAGTGATGGACTCCCCTGTTGCCTCCCCAGGCCAACAAACAGAGTCAGGCCTTCGGGCTCCTGTGGAAGGACAGCAGAGTGGGGAAAAGCCTCACCCGGGAGGACAGGACATCCCAGAGGGATGCGGCAGAGAAGGCTCTTCTCTTGGATCCCGTCAGTTGGGAGTTCATTGACCGACGGGAACTTGGCAGGCTTCTTCTGCCGGCTTGTCTTGGAGGATGAGAGGTTCATCAAGTTAATCTGGCCCTATGCCATAACGGGGAGGGGGGGGTTGGTGCAATAGGCCCAGCTTTTATGTCAAAGGACCACAGTTCTATTGATGGAGGGGCTTCCCTATCCATTCAGCAGCGCCAACCAACCTACCAGGTTTCTGACTTCTGTCCCAAACATCTGCCTGTACTGGGCGTCTTGCCCTTCGAGACTGTAGACGTGACTTTTCACTTTAAAGGAGGCGTCCGTGATGGTGGGAGCCCGTCCTGACAGGAAGCTGCCTCCGAGCGAGGGAGTCAGGAAGAGGCGGTGCTGACGGTGGGGAAGGCTCAGATCGGCTTCCAGGAAGAGCTGCTCTGCTGCAGAGAGATGGGAATGGCCAGCTGGCCTCAGACCTGGGAAAGCCCCTTCTGGCCACCATGGAAAGGGGCTGCTTCCACTGTGCAGCCCAGGGGTACCATTTATCAGACAGGGGTCTCGAAGAACCCCCAAAGTGCCCCCCCAATGCTGTACAGGTTGCAGCCACAGAAAAGGTGGGGTGGGGGCATTTCTTACCTCTCTGGATCATCTCAGCCAGATGAGGCTGAGCAAAAACCTTGGCTACCCTGAACACCATCAGGGCATTCTTGGGGCTGACCAGGTCTGTGCGGAGAGCTCGGTTCAGAAAGCTGACAAAGAGCTTTGTGTAGAGCAGCAGGTTCTCCTGGACAAAAGGCTCCCTGTAAAAGAACAGTCAGCGGAGAGCATGGTCAGTTGCTTTCCTCTCCAGCTCAGAGGCACCCAGGACAATCAGCTCCAGCAAGTCCAGGTTACACAGATGTGGCTCTTCCTGGCACTACAGAGAAGACCGGGCACCTGAACAGCTGAGCAGGGCTGCAGAAAGACCGTCACACTACAGGGACATTTCCATGGGCCCCAATGCCCCCATGTAAGCAGCAACAGCCAGGGCTGGAGAGAAGGGTGGCCAGAAAAACATCCCGATTCCCCCCCTATGTTCCTGCTGTGACTCAAAGACAGCACAGCCACACCCGTTGCTGCCTCCAGCCACCTTCAATGAGCTCACCCAGGCAGCCGCTGGAGAGCCAGCCCCCTCTCTACCCAACCTGCCTTATGCTGGGAGCAAAGGCAGCTGGCCAGATCTGCAGGGGCTCCAAGGGCCCCAGCCCAGGACGCACCATTTCTCTGATACACTACGAGGTGGGGCCTCTGCGCTTGGCAGTTGTTTCTCTGGTGCATATCTCCAAGGCTGTAAGTAGCTTAACCACATCTCCAGAACCTGCAGGAACAAATGGGATGTTTAAATGTATGTTTGCACTTAAAGTCGGGCTTCAGGCCCGGGTACAGCACAGAAATGGCATTGGTCGCATTGGTTGATGATCTCTGGAGGGCTCGGGACAGGGGTTGCTCCTCTGTCCTGGTCCTATTAGACCTCTCAGCGGCTTTTGATACCATCGACCATGGTATCATGCTGCACCGGCTGGAAGAGCTAGGGGTGGGAGGCACCGTGTTGCGGTGGTTCTCCTCCTTCCTCTCCGACCGGTCGCAGTCAGTGTTGGCAGGGGGGCAGAGGTCGACCCCGAGGCCCCTTGTATGTGGGGTGCCACAAGGGTCGGGCCTCTCGCCCCTTCTGTTCAACATTTATGTGAAGCCGCTGGGTGAGATCATCCGTGGTTTCGGGGTGAAGTACCACCAGTACGCTGATGACACCCAGCTGTACATCTCCACCCCGGACCACCCCAATGATGCCCTTGAAGTGATGTCCCGGTGCCTGGAGGCTGTACGGATCTGGATGGGGAGAAACAGACTCAGGCTCAACCCATCCAAGACCGAGTGGCTGTGGTTTCCGACATCCTGATATAGTCAGTTGGTGCCATCACTGACTATTGGGGGCGAGTCATTGGCCCCCACGGAGAGGGCTCGCAACTTGGGAGTCCTCCTGGACTCACAGCTGTCTTTAGAAGAGCACTTGATGGCTGTGGCCGGGAGGGCGTTTTATCAGGTTCGCTTGATTCGCCAGTTGCGTCCCTTTCTGGATCGGGACTTGTTAAATACGGTCACTCATGCCCTCGTCACTTCCTACCTGGACTACTGCAATGCTCTCTACATGGGGCTCCCCTTGAGGAGCACCCGGAGGCTCCAGCTAGTCCAGAATGCGGCCACGCGGGTGGTTATGGGAGCGACGAAGCGCTCCCATGTGACCCCCCTACACGAGCTGCACTGGCTCCTGGGTGCGCTTCAAGGTTTTGCAGCGCTCCATGGCTTAGGACCGGGGTATTTACGAGACTGCCTTCTGCCACCAGTAGCCTCTCACCGACCAGTATGCTCCCATAGAGAGGGGCTCCTCAGGATGCCGTCGGCCAAACAATGTCGACTGGCGGCCCCCAGGGGGAGAGCCTTCTCTGTGGGGGCACCTGCCATCTGGAACGAGCTCCCCCCGGAGATATGGAGGATCCCGGACCTGCGCGCTTTTCGCCGTGCCATCAAAACATTTCTTTTTCAGCAGGCCAGCCTGGCCTCTCTTTTAAACTTTTAAACTTTTTTAAATCTTAAATTTGTCTTAAGAATTTGGGGTGTTTTAAATTTCGTTTTCCGGGCCAAATTATTTAATCGTATTTTAATGCTTTTTAACATTTGTATTATATGTATTTTATCTGGCTGTTCACCGCCCTGAGTCCTTCGAGAGTAGGGCGGTATACAAATTCAATAAATAATAATAATAATAATAATAATAATAATAATAATAATAATAATAATAATAATAATAATAATAAAGCTTTCTTCATCAACCATGTTGCGAAGTTACGGTTAGGGATACCAAAATCCATCCCACGAAGTGGATGGGGTTACAAGGTTGACTAGATCTGGACACCAAAAGTTATGAATACTGAAACTACTTTTATTACATATAGGCTTATGGTAATATGGAATAGGACAGCTCACATGGCCAACTCACCATGGGGCAATTCACCAATGCAATTTAATTATTTAAAATAATTAAAAATTAAAAAGATTATTTTAAATTTTGTCATTCACATTTCATTCTGTCCCTCCTTTTTTAATGATTCTATTCCATTATTTCTTCAATATTAGTGTAACTCTTATCCCGCGGCGAGTTGGCTGTCTGTGTTGTCCTAGACTCATAGTAACAGGATCTTGGACTTCCTCCGCTGCCTTTACCCGAAAGAGAACAAAGCGAGATCCAGTGAGATGCTTTCTCAAACTCCTTGCTTTGGCCCGAGATTCCTCTTATCTGCCTGCTGTCTTTCTCCTCTTCCTCAGAGTTATTCTCACAAGGGCCTCGTGTTAGAGGATTATCTCATCATAGTAAACCAGGCTCTTGAAAATTGTTTGAATATTTCAATTGTTCAATTATATTCCCAACATTGGAATTTATCTAATTTAACAGATAGAATTTATCTGTTAATAAATTTGGGCTTACCATACCACCTACAGAATTGCTAAAAGGGTTATCAAGTGTCCCTGGAAACACTGGGGTACCCCATGAAAATGCCTCTACTAATGGGAAGGAAAGACTCCACACTGCCCTTTTGTAGGGCCAAGATTTAATTAACAGGTTCAATCTGGATTGCAAATGTTACATGCCATGGTAGTTATTGCATTTCCTCAGGTCTCTTCTTTGTTTTGTTCACTGTTGTTAGCTGCATTTTAAAGAGTCATTTCTCTCATTCCCTCATCTTAACTTCCAATACAAAACTTGTTAGTTTTCCATCTTTTGGCTCTTTCAATTATATTTATGGTATATAGACCACATATTATTACTTTAATGAAGAACTGATATGTAATTTAATAATTTCTCTTTATGTGGTAACTATACTACTGATTATTATTAGTATTATATAGGATAATTTACTGTAGAAGCTGAGTGATATTTTTAATAATCTTGGGTTTTTTTAAAGCACCACTATTATTTTACTGACTGAGGCTGTGCAACCTGATCCTGCTTTACAAGGCATGGCAGAACTTCCAAGACTTCCTAAAAATTAGCAGTACTAATTCCATCAATGCTCTGAAATTCAAATCCTCACCCTGAAAGGACCAACATCCAAATGGTACTTACAGCTCTGAAAGACGCATCCAGAGGCCAGTGACCAAAGCAGTGCTGAAGAAATATGTAGAGTTTCTGCTGAACAAACCGAGGGATCACAATCCTGCAAAGATACCCCACAGAGTTAGCCAACCAATCCCTATAAGGAAAAAAGCACTTTGCCCCAATGAAAGGTGTTGCATAGGAGACAGCTACACTTCAACTGACAGGCCAGCTTTAGGCCTGTTGTAATAGCAGAGTACCACACATGAAACAGTGATCCCAGTTGGAGGAAGGAAGATTCTGATTAAATGTTAGATAAGATCTCCTTAAGGCAATTTGACAAGGCACCAGCATCAGCTGGACACCCAACTGCCTGGAGGGCTTTCATTTGGATTATTCCAGTGACTCGAGGCCTCAGTGCCTCCTTCCAACTCTGACTTCCTGTCAAGCCACCCCAGCAAGTATCTTAAGAGGCTAGTTGAAAGCTTCAGTTCTACAGTTCCTGGAAAAATAACAAACCAAACTTTACCTTTTGGTTTATGCTGAAATATTCAGAGGGGAAGGGAAGTTGGAAAAGAGAGCTTTACGAGTTTGGGGGTAATTTTTTTCTTCTCTTCAAAGAGCAGAATTGAGTTTTGATGAATACTGAATCAGGGAGCTGCTACTTTAGACTATCGGCTCAAGATGATACCAGGACTAGGGTTCCTCCACAGTTTCAAGAGCCCAGAATTTCCTCAGCCCAGAGACCATTTTAACAAAAAAAACAACGTACGCTCAACCAAGCTGTATGCCAAGGCAATTTGATTTAAATCAGACATCTTCTATGTGTCAATATCTTATAAAGTAGCCACACGCACCCGTCCCCCCATCTTAAATGCTTCAGACAAAATACACCCAATAACTTCCAATTTTTGGTTAGCTTCCATAATCCCCAAAAATCTTTCCTTCAATCTGTCTATATTTTCTGTGGCGCCCAAAAGCGTCCCAGACAGTTGACCGCAGGAAAGTCAAATAGAAGAAATACATCCTGCCTCTTATTTATAGCGTATCACTTTATTATTATTATCTCTTTTATTCATTAAACATGAAACTCAGTCAATTGAACATTCAAAAATGTGTCACAAATACCATTGACTGGTGCTAATGGTTGATACGGGTTGCTGCCAGCGTCCTAGGTATCAACCAAGTACCTTCTTAAAATGCACGATGTCAGTAGTGGTTTAGCCTCCGTGAACGAACCCAGGCATCTACCATCACAAGCTGACAATGTCGGCAGCATACACAGCCGTTACTATAGCTGTTGCTGTTGAAGAACCCTTGCACAGGCCTGATGATGGCAGATGAGATTCTGCTGAAACGTTGCCAAGATACTCTCAATCTTACATGGGAAAAGACCCGAATACACCAAGACTTGCACACCTGTACCCATGAAAATCTACATATATATATATGAATGTATTTCTCTTTAGCCAGGTTCTTCCTACGTAAACCAAGATTTTTATGCAGCCCTAGTTCAGTGCATAAAAAGGGCTGCATAAAAATCTTGGTTTACGTAGGAAGAACCTGGCTAAAGAGAAATATACATAAAGACCTACGAAAAGAAAACAAACATATATATATGTGTGTGTGTGTGTGTGTGTGTGTGTGTGTATATGAATGTGTATATATGTATATGTGTGTGTGTGTGTGTGTGTGTTGTGTGCGCGTATATATATATATATATTTGTTTTCTCAGGTTTTCGCGGGTGTTTGTATGTAGGTCTTTGGTTATTCGGGTCTTCTCCCACGTAAAATTGGAAGTGTCTTGGCGACGTTTCGACGAAGTCTCATTCGTCATCTTCAGGCTGGTGTTCTCGGCTTTGTTCCTGGAAGCACAAAGCCGAGAACACCAGCCTGAAGATGACGAATGAGACTTCGTCGAAACGTCGCCAAGACACTTCCAATTTTACGTGGGAGAAGACCCGAATAACCAAAGACCTACATATATATATATATATATATATATATATATATATATAATTATTATTTGTTGTTATTGATTTAATCTTCAATTTGATTCGGTCTGGGTCTGGTAAAAACTTAACAGTTCAAGTTCTAATCAAGGACCCAGGAGCTACTATTATTACTGTTATTAATTTGCAGGTTCAGTTTGCAGTAAATGTATATTTTCAAAATGATTTTTTCCTGAAATTAAGGCAAAAGATTTCCCAATGCACATAAAATGGGTAAAGTGGTCTGTCTGCACAGAAGTAAACTATGCTTGCTGAAGTACAGAGTATACAAAAAGATGGACATTTTAGCTTCCACATAGTTAAGCACATTTGCCCTCACACCACTGAAGAAGAGGCACCTACGTGAGAACGAGAAGAGGGACCTGGCACTACAGAAAACTGTTCTTTTGTTGGATTCACACATCTTTTATTCAAAGCTCAGGAAAATCAGTACCGTTTCTCAACCTTGGCAGCTTGAAGACTTCAACTGCCAGAATTTCCCCGCCAGCCTAGCAAGGTTGAGAAACATTGTTCTAGCCAATCTCCCAGCAAAAACCCAGGTTTTATTTTCTCTGTTAAGTACAGACCTTTTGAATTCCTCTAGTGGACTGGCGGTGTGGGAATGCCCTGAAGGAGAAATCGGTTCTGACTTTACGCTGTTGCTGAAGGCGTGTAGGTGCTTCAGCAGCAACCGGATAACCAAGACGTGTTCTTCAGTGGCTTTGAAAGACTCCTAGATTGAAAGCAACAGCAGAAGACAAAGACAAAGAAGGTGAAGGAGGAGGAGGAGAGAACTAAAGTTAGGTCCCCACCACAAAGAAAGTCCAGAAGAGGCACAGAAAATGCACCCAAACCAAGAACATCCGCACGTGCGCACACACACTCTCACACACACACTTGAACCTCATCTGGGGCTAACTGATTCCATGGCTAAGTCAAAAACTTGAGCTCAGAAAGAAAAATTGGTTGCTACTAAGGAGGGAGCAATTTTTGCCCAAGGGAGAGTGGATTTGGCCAGCTCTTCCTACTTCCTGGACACATGAGACCCAGTGGATGAACAGACAAGGAGGGTCGTTGGGAAGGACCAAGTACAAGTTTAAGGGGTCTTCTACGTCTCCTCCTGAGCGCTCTCAACCACCTTCTATTTGAACATGAGCTTGGAAAGCCAATGACCAGGGGGAACAGGGCTCAAGATACCTCATGCAAAAGAGCCCCATCCTCCCTGCCTCTCCTTGGGGCCTTGGAATCCTGCCGATTAGCAAAAGCCAATCGACTGAATTCATTTGGATACCTTCTCCTCGATCAAAATATTGTTACCTACAAACTATTTTTAGGAGGGGAAATTTACCATGTGAAGAATTCACAGGACTTTGCAAAGGATGGGGTTTTGAATCGTTCATGCAGAAGAACAAGGGACCTCTGGGTCAGACAAGTTCAGGCTTATAGATAACTCCTATCATATAGCCACACCCTAACACATGGGGAGTTTGAGGTAGACCTTTTCTTTTACATGTACAACCAAGATGTAAAATGATATCAAACCCCGTAATAGGGCTCTTTGACTTGAGCTAGTTAACCATCTCCGTGACTCAAATCACATAGAACAGACCCTAAATGGTTTGGATCAGCCTTCCATCCTTCCAAGTTTGGAAAAATGAGGACCTGGATTGTTGGGGGCAATAGGCTGACTCTGTAAACCGCTTAGAGAGGGCTGTAAAGAACTGTGAAGCGGTATATAAATTATGTGCTATTGCCATCACCGCCAGCTTGCTACTCTCAATTGAGGAGGGCTGCTGTCCTTACCTCTGAGCCGCAGGGACTCCAGCATAAAGAATAAAAGGCCCCCAGAATGGCTGGGCTGACCTACCAGGCTGGGCCAAAATGAATCTGGTTTGGTTTTGGCTTAGTGTGAAACAGCTATGTGGCTTGAAAACCGTGGTAGGTGAGGGGCAGAGCCCACTCTAGTACAAGCCATAAATCAGAGCTCATGGCACCGAGTGGTAGGTAAAATACTCTTTCTCAAGAGAACCATAGATGTTGGCCACAGATGTTACAAAGGAAGAACTAAAGGATGCAGAGGATCTGATCCCAGCAGGACTGGCTGTGAGGAACTCACTCACAAGGCTTCCTCCTTAGGGTCACACCAATTAGGATGGGATAGGATTTTTAGCTGTGAGCAGCTGGCTTTGGCCAGAAGTGAACTGGTATCCCTCCCATGGATACATCTCTCAAGCCCAGAGGCCTGGGGTGCTCGCCTTCTCTTCCGAGGAGCATCGAGGGATGTGGGCACATGGAGCAAAGCAAAGACCAGCAGGCCCATTTCTTGGCCTGAGTTTCTCCTCAGCTGTGGCGATTCCAGCGACTTCTTGCTGTGGCTGGGCTGCTCCCTCCATACCGCCCTAATTCTCCTGGCCTTTAATCTTGCTGGGTGGTTATCTAACACCACAGCAGCAACTATTAGCGCAATGGGGGCTGAAGACCCTGGCCACTATCTCATGTTCCTGAGAGTCTCTGGAGAGCTACCCCCAGTTATTGTTGCTGCTGTGGGGAAAGGGAAGAGTTATTTGCCTCCTTTCTGCCTTGCAGGTTTTAGGTGCCTCCATTTCAACAGGTGTTTTGTTTAAAATACATAGAATCAGGAAATGAAATGAAATGAAATGGTGGAAATACTTGATATGTATGGAGGGCCTGGTGGCTGGATTGGACAGGATGGATGCTGGATAAAGAGAGTCGGTAGTGGAGAACCTCCAGCTGAGAGACAACAGAAGAAGGGATGGGAAAGGGGGTAGGGGAGGGGGGGAGGAGAGAGAGATGAAAAAGGAAAGAAAGGAAGAAACAAAAAAACAGTGAGAACAGACTCAGGCAGATGGGGATGAAAGACAAGGGATGAGTCCCATGGAGTCAACCATCAGCTGTGCCTGCAAAGTAACACCCTCTGGCACACCCCATGTTTTTGTCACAACCAGCCCTAACCAAGTTCTGGCCACCTGTTCAGCTTGCACTGTCCTGGCCTAGAAATTAATCCTAGCTTGCTTCTTGCCTCTGAATATTCAAAACAGGTAGGAGGTAGAACCGTTACAAAGAAGGAAGGAGATCTCTGGAGGTCACACACGAGGGTGGGTTTCTTGGTGGGATAGGAAAAATCACTGGATCCCTCCAAGGACTTCTTGTGGGAGAAAATACATCTACAATAATGTGAAGCCTCACTTCAGTAACTGTGTTGACTACATCTGAAGTCTTCCTTAGCAACAAATCAGAATCCATCAGTTTGACTTGTTTCTGTTCATACGAAAGACTGCTGTTGCAGTTGTTTAAAATGTGACCCCAATAAAAGAGAGGAAGTGTTGGTTCAGGGTAGAGTAGTGGTGCTGCAGCTGTTCTGCAAATTTCTTCCCCTTCCTCTGTAGTTTCCCTGCCCGTTAAACTATAAGCGTCTCAGGGCGCACGCTTGCCACACCTGGCCTTAATGATATAAATGATATGAAAATGTAATAACACAGAACACTCCAGAAAGGCTAAATTTGAATCAAAGGGCTTTCAGGTCTTTTCTATCCAGATCTCTTGCACAATTATTTTGTTATTTTCAGGTCCAGAACTGGCAAGTCCTACAGACTGCAGAGAAGCAGCCTCTGCCATCAAGGATAGACCGCCCATAAGTTATCCAGTTCTGGAAGAAACTCAGGGTGGGAGAGAACAGCAAGGCAGCCATCTACCACTTGATTCACAGGAGGACATGTTGACTCAGTCTTCCAACCTTCCGAGGTGGGTAAAACGAGGACCCAGATTGTTGGGGACAATATGCTGACTCTGTAAATGACTTAGAGGGAGCTGTAAAGTACTGTAAAGCAGTATAAAATCTAAGGGCTATTTCTATTGCTATTGTAGGCTGCACTTTGGCAAGGAGTTAACGACCAGTTCAAGCATTCTTCCCCTATATTATAGCGTATAAAATTGTGGGCCCATCACCTAGAAATACCCTGAAAATGAGAAAACCAAGTACCAACATTACTGCACAGAACAGAATCACTTTCACATATAGCAAAGATGTAATATTTCACTTTTGCAGAAACAAACCTATGTCCATCTGACGCCTCGTTCATCCCCTCCCCCACCCAAACCAGTTGGTGTGTCTGGAGAAACAGCAGAGTCTTTCTGCACCTCTGGCTGTTCACTTCCAACTTCTGAGCATCAGCAGCACTTAAGAATTCAGCAAGTTCTCTCTCTCTCGAGTGCCAACAGGATGCAGAAGGGCATCAGCACTTGCCCTGCTCAGCTGGCCAAGAACCCACCAGAGTGGCAAACAAGCCTGGTGCTCACCTCAAGGAAAGGAACCACCCAAGAAGAACCCTGGGGAAACTCTGTTGGCCGCTATTGAAAATCAGTCAGTTAATCAATCCCCTGATCTGCTTGCGGACTCCACTATTACTGCAAGTCCGTCTCTGTTGGAGGGAAGAAGCCAAAAACTGGGCTTCATTGTCAACTCCCAGCTGGAGGGGGGGGCATAGAAATGAAGTGGATCTCTCTGGGATTCTGAGCTGGCAAATAGTCTCAATGACACAAGCCTCCCAGAGCAGCAGGGCCGCCAGTCACGGCAGGGGTTACCGTCACGCTGGTGTGGTGCAGGGCCCAATTTTTCACGTTTGGAAGCTGGTAACGGTAAAGCTGAACCTTGGAGAGGACAGCGACTGAAAGGGGATAACTCAGAGGTGGTGGGGAGAAGGGCGATCTCCCACCATGGATGGTGGAACCCCCCAAATCCAATGTGAAAGAGACCGGCTGTCAGAGCCAGGTCTGGAGACGTGACGGCCCGAATGTATAATGAGGAAGCAGAATAGTGAGAAGCAACAAGAAGCATCGGCGAAAGGAGTTTTACAAGTGGCGAAATATCCGAACTATCTCAGTGAAACTGTGGAGGTTGCAGACGAGGAACAAAGTGAGTCTCCAAAGAGCAAAAAGCGGCACCAGTGGTGGGAGCAGAAGGAAGACAGACAGAGAGTGAAAGTGCTTTACGAGCGGTGTTGAGAGGGATTGGATTGTTGAGAAAATCAAATAGAAAGTTGGAACTGAGACTAAGACCGTGAGAAAGTGTTGAGGGTGTGTGTAGGTGGTGAACAGATTGGAGAAAGAAGAAAAGAAAGAATTACTTTTGGAGATAGAGACGGGGGAAGTGTAGCGAAGGGACAGTGACTGGGCAAATCGGAAGAAATTGCCATTTTCAAGCTTGGAGAACAGGATATAGGAGAGAGGGGGAAAAAGGAACTGTGACTGAGACTGAGAAAGAAAGAATATTGGTACTTTGGAGGAAGATTTATGGACTGGAAACATCAAACAATTCATGGGTATGGATTGGTAATGAATTTTTAACCTACCCCAGTGAGATCTATAGAAAACTTCGGATCTAATATTTAATATAATCTTGGAACTTGATATTTAAGATTTAATATAAATAATACTAAACCTATTTATACTTTGTTACCTTTTTTTGATTTCTTTTTCCTTTTTTATCACTTATTGGTCCCTCTTATCTTTTTTCTTTAGATATTGTTAAATAAATATTGATTATAAATAGTAAATAAAGAACAGTTATTTATATAATTAACTGAATATAGAAAACAGATTGATATAATTAGTTGGATTAAAATGACAAATTATATTGTATTTATTTATGCTGTAATTGTATTTGTATTATAATAAGCTTAGAAATAAAGACTAGAGATAGAAAGAGATATAGACATAGACTGGAGTAGTAAATTAGATATATATGGTGTTGTGGAATAGTCTCCTTCAAAAAATGAAAATGTCAAATAAAACTACTGTCACAAAAACAGTAAAAAAGACAATTTCCATGACAGCCTCCTTGCAGGTCAGAAATTAATAACAGATATGCCAACTACTGAAAAATTAGGATCAGCATCAACTGTACAAAATATGCAAACCTCACTGACCATGATCCAAGAGGTTATGATGAAAATGCAGGAATCTATTAATAATAATCATGAAGAAATGAAAGGGGAAATGTGTGAGGTGAAGGGAGACATAAAGAAATTAGATGACAGAATGGAAAAGATTCAGGAATCAATAGCAAATAATGAACAAAAAATAAAAGTAGTAGAGGCAAGAGCAGAAAGAACCGAAAAGAAATTGGAAGCTGCGGAGGAGAGATGGATAGCGGCAAATAAGGAGTTGGAAGAGACAGTAATACATCTTGAGTTAGAGAAATTCTCCCACTATTTAAGATTTCAAAACGTAGTAGAGAACAAAGAGGAGGAGCTCTACAAACTCATGACAGAATTGCTAGCAGAGACGTTGCATATGGATAAACAGGAACAATGGAATAGTATTGACAAAGTATATCGAGTATATACAAATTACGCAAGATGACAGAGACTATCATGTGAAATCCATGTTAGGCTCACAAAGAAATCAGTACGTGATGAAATTTACAGAAAGACAAGAGAAGACCAATTGACTTATAAAGGAAAAGAAATTATAATACTTAAACAATTACCAAAAAGAATTTGAGATCAATGTAGAAACTATCAATTTCTCTCTTCCAAACTGATTAAACTTAGGGTTACTTCCCCGCTGCCCTGAAAGAGGCGGTGGTGAGGCCTCTCCTCAAGAAGCCGTCCCTGGACCCAGCAATATTGGCTAACTATCGTCCTGTCTCCAACCTTCGCTTCATTGCGAAGGTTGTTGAGAGTGTGGTCGCGCAACAGTTTCCACAATTCCTGGAGGAAACATCCTATCTAGATCCGTTCCAGTCGGGTTTCAGGTCTGGGCACAGCACGGAAACGGCATTGGTCGCGTTGGCGGATGATCTCTGGAGGGCTCGGGACAGGGGTTATTCCTCTGTTCTGGTCCTATTAGATCTCTCAGCGGCTTTTGATACCATCGACCATGGTATCATGCTGTACCGGCTGGAAGAGTTGGGGGTGGGAGGCACTGTGTTGCGGTGGTTCTCCTCCTTTCTCTCCGACCGGTCACAGTTTGTGTTGGCAGGGGGGCAGAGGTCGACCTCGAGGCCTCTCATTTGTGGAGTGCCGCAGGGATCGGTCCTCTCGCCCCTTCTGTTCAACATTTATGTGAAGCCGCTGGGCGAGATCATCCGTGGCTTTGGGGTGAGATACCACCAGTACGCTGATGACACCCAGCTGTACATTTCCACCCCAGGCCACCCCAACGATGCCCTTGAAGTGATGTCCCAGTGCCTGGAGGCTGTGCGGATCTGGATGGGGAGGAACAGGCTCAGGCTCAACCCTTCCAAGACTGAGTGGCTGTGGCTCCCGGCATCCCGATATAGTCAGTTGACTCCATCACTGACTATTGGGGGCGAGTCTTTGGCCCCCACTGAAAGGGCTCGCAATCTGGGAGTCCTCCTGGATAGGCAGCTGTCTTTGGAGGAACATCTGACGGCTGTTACCAGGGGGACCTTTTATCAGGTTCGCCTGATTCGCCAGTTGCGGCCCTTTCTGGATCGGGATTCCCTGTGCACAGTCACTCACGCCCTCGTCACCTCTCGCCTTGACTACTGCAACGCTCTCTACATGGGGCTCCCCTTGAAGAGCACCCGGAGGCTCCAGCTGGTCCAGAATGCAGCAGCGCGGGTAGTGACGGGAGCAGCCTGGCGCTCCCATGTAACACCGCTCCTGCGCGAGCTGCACTGGCTCCCGGTGGTCTTCCGGGTGCGCTTCAAGGTGTTGGTTATCACCTTTAAAGCGCTCCATGGCATAGGGCCTAGCTATCTTCGAGACCGCCTGCTGCTACCGACGATCTCCCATCGACCCGTGCGCTCCCACAGAGAGGGCCTCCTCAGGGTGCCATCAGCCAAACAATGTAGGCTGGTGGCCCCCAGGGGGAAGGCCTTCTCTGTGGGGGCTCCCACCCTCTGGAATCAGTTGCCCCCGGAGATAAGAAGAATCCAGGACCTCAATGCCTTCCGTCGTTCCCTGAAAACCCATCTTTTTCAACAAGCCGGGTTGGCCTAAGAAGAAATTTTTAAAATTTTAAAATTTTTAAATTCTTTTAATTAGTCTGTGATTCTTAACTTTCGGGCCAAAATTTATATATATTTTTAAATGTTTTAATATTTGTATCCTATGTTTTTTATCTTGGCTGTACACCGCCCTGAGTCCTCAGGGAGAAGGGCGGTATATAAATTGGAAATTAAATTAAATTAAATTAAATTAAACATAGAATAATGTTCTGCTGGTTAATACCAGAAGGTATGCTGGTAACCTGGGAAGAGTAGATATGGTAGAAAAGGCCCAGGAATTTTTTGAGCAATGTTTTGGGGAAGAATTAGACAGTAGAGAGGAGTTAGAAACAAAGAGCCAAGAAGAACAACAGACAGAAGAAAACGAACTAGCCCGAGAATCAAGAGAGCGGTTAGATACGGAAAGTCAGGACAGAGAAGGGGTAAGAACAAGACAGCAAAGGGAATTAAAATTAAAAAAAGAAACAAGAAGGACAAATAAGTAATTTAATGGAGGAGGAGATGAACTTAATATAAATTAACATAAACAGATTCAATGCACCGATAAAATGAAGACAAATAATTACTAAACTTCAAAAATTGCATATGGAAATAATACGCTTACAAGAAGTGCATATCCCAAAAGGAAAAAGTGGCTTTTTGGAAACCCCCAAATTAGGAAAATTATTTGTAGCATTGGCAGAATCTAAGAAAAGAGGGATAGCAATTTATATAAAGGAAAGGTTAAACCCCAAACAAATTTATGCAGATAATGAGGAAAGGACACTAATGATTGAAGTTTTAATAAAACAAAAAAGAATATTAATTGTAGTTATTTATGCACCTAGTACAAATCAGAGAGAGTAATATAGTAAATTACATAAACAATTAACAGAATTAGAGGCAGCTAATCTGTGCATATTAGGTGACCTCAATGCAGTGGTAGATCCCAAAAAAGATTATAAAACCGGAAAAAAGAAAAAATCATGAAAGGAAAATATTACCAACTGCATTCTTTGAATTGGCCCAGGATACATGGAGAGAAATTAATTCCCCCCAAAAAGCAATATACTTTCTTCTCTAACCCCCAAAATTCGTGGTCTAGGATAGATATGGCACGGATGGACCCAGAAACAGGAAAAGACATTGAAGAAATAGAAATCGCAATTAATACCTGGACAGAGCACAACCCAATAAAAATCAGATGGAAAGGAGAAGTCAGGAGGAAAGGAAGATGGACCATGAACCAAAGGGTAGTGAAAGAAAAGAATTATATTCAACATATAGAAAAAGAACTAGGCCCTTTCCTAAAAGAAAGTTGGAATGAACAAACCACCATTCAAAATTTATGGGATACAACGAAAACCTATGTAAGAGGTCTATCGATAGCATATATAATAAGGAAAAACAGAATTGAAAAGAAACATCTTACAGAACTCCAAGGAAAATTGGTAAAATTCGAATCTAAATTACAGAAAGATCCCCAAAACCAAGAAACCAAAGTAGAAATAGAATTAATTAAACACAAATTATAACTAATAACCCAAGAAAAAGTAGCACAAAAAATTAGAGCAATTAAACAAAATTATTTTGAAAATGCCAACAAGCCCGGAAGATGGTTGGCCTATAAATTAAAAAAAGAAAAGGAAAAGAAATTAATAAAACAATTAGAGGATGAGGACGGGACGATGTACTTCCAGAAGAGGGCAAAAATAATAATAAATGGGGAACAAACAGAAAGCTTTAAGATAGCTAAAGGAGTAAGACAAGGTTGCCCCCATCATTCTGTCTGTGGAGACATTAATGTCACAAATTAGAGATAATTCAGAAACAAAGGGTTTAAAAATTAAATCACAAGAATATAAGGTCCAAGCATTCGCAGACGATTTGGCATTCATTATTGAGGAACCTTTAGAATCTGGACCAACTTTATTACAAGATACAAATCAATTTGGCATGGTAGCAGGATTTAAAATGAATAAAGACAAAACTAAAATAATTGACTAAGAATTTAACCAACAGACAGAATGAAGAGGAGACTAGAGGAGAAGCTGGGAATTTCGAGAGCAAAGAAAATTAAATATTTAGGAATTTGGCTATCGGAAAAATGCACCACGATAAAGAGAGATAATTATAATACACTCCTGTTACAAATACAAAAAGATCTGGACCAAATTACTAATATCATTAATTGGCAGAATTTTGACAATCAAAATGAACCTATTACTCAAGTTACTTTATTTCAAACGGTACCAATAAAATTAGGGAAAAAATTATTTGAACAATTAAATAAAATGACATCAAAATTTATATGGTCAGGGAAAAAACCTTAATTGAACTCAAATTACTGAAAGATAGCAGGAAAAAAGGAGGTTTCGGTTTACCAGAATGGGAACTTTACTACTAAGCAGCATCCCTAACATGGCTTAAACATTGGATACAACTCAAAAATAAATGAATACTAACGATAGAAGGCCATGACCTCCAACTTGATTGGCATGGCTTTCTCCGGGATGGGAAAAATAAATCACATACCCTACTTTCAAAGACACATGTTAAGAGATGCCCTATTGAAAGTTTGGGAAAAGATTAAAAACAATCATTATATGAAGGTCCCAATTTGGTTGTCTACAATGGAAGCAATGATACATCCAAATACCACAGACTTAAACAAAATGGTGAAATATATAGAATTATTAGACACAAAAGGAGAATTAAAATCAGTACAAGACCTGAAAAAACAAGGAATAAATCTGGAATGGTGGCCATATTTACAAATCAAAACTAGATTTTAAAAAGACAAGGAACAATTCGGCATAAACAGGGAACAACTGGAACTAGATAAAACATTATTAGGATCAGGGAAAAAAATGATTACAAATATTTATAACTACCTATTAAGATATAAATTGGAAGAAGAAACAGTGAAAGAAACGGTAAGTTGGGCTAGGAATTTTGGACACACTATAGCCATGATGTGGCACAGGTGGCATGTGGAGCCATATCTGTGGGCACGCGAGCATTGCTCCAGCGTGCATGCGCGCGCTGGCCAGCTCATTTTCGTGCCTTCTGGGCCCACCTGAAGTAGGAACAGGCCATTTCCAGCCTCCAGAGGGCCTCTGGGGGGGTGGGGAAGGCTGTTTTCACCCTCCCCAGGCTCCAAGAAAGGCTCTGGAGTCTGGGGAGGGTGAAAAACGGGCCTACTGGGCCCACCGGTAACCTTTTTGCCTTTGTGTGCCAAAAGTGTGAGGGGCGTGGAGGGCATTGAATTATGGGTGTGGGAATGCATGCGCAAGACACCCCCTCCCCCGTGACCCCCATTTTTGGCAAGTGATGGCAAAAAGGTTAGCCATCACTGCACTATAGAATTGAAAAAATGGGAAAAATTGTGGGGGGAAAATATAAATTAACCATGGCAGTAACATATAAAGAAAACATCTATAAAATGTTTTATAGATGGCATTTAGCACCAGCAAGATTGGCAAAAATGTACCCCAACGTATCACCTAAATGTTGGAGATGTGGCCATAAATTAGGAACATACTACCACATGTGGTGGATGTGCCCCAGTGTTAAAAAAATTTGGTAGTAAAATTAGAAGATGGCTAGAAGAGATTACACTCCAAAAGACTGATTTCAAACCGGAGTTGCTTCTTCTAGGAATAATTGATAAGAAAATGGAGAAAACTCTGTACCACATAACATTGCATATACTAACGGCGGCCAGAATTACTCTGGCACAAAGGTGGAAACAGACTAATACACCACCTGAAGAAATAGTAATTAAAAAGATCCTCAAATGTGCTGAAATGGATAAAATGACAATGGAGAGTAAAGAAAGAGATGATTCGGATTACTAAAAAGTGTGGAATAGATTCTATATGTGGCTAGAAAATAGAAATTAAAACAAGAAATAAGAGTGTAAATTGAAATTTGATTAATTGGAAACTAAGAGTATTGAATACTGGTAAGGATAAAATACTATGTTAATAAATAGGGTGTAAATATATATAACAATTTTGTTTACAAGAATGCTTAATATGATTATAAAAGAATAAGAGAATAATTAGGAAAATTGAATTTAAAAGTAAAGATAATTGTCGATGCAGAAAGTTGTAAAATATTATATAATGTTGTTAATTATGTTTTGTATTTTACTGTTTGGTGTATGTGTATGTTTTCTTTTCTTCTTCTTTTTTCCTTTTTTGTCTTTTTCTATTATGTTTTTGGTTTTAAAAATGTAAAATATTTAATAAAAACTATTTTATAAAAAAAAAGAAAGAAAAGAAATCTCAAGCCTGCAGCCTTGTCAGACATCTAAGGTTGGCATCCTTCCCCAGGCTCAAGCAGGACTGCCCGAGCTGACCCCTCTGCTGTCCCAGCCACAGGCCTCTTGTCCCTGATTGCTGCTGCCAGTCAGAAAGGTCTCCTCCCCCACGACTCTGTAGGGCCCCTTTAGAAGCCCTTCCATGAGTCTGGCAGTGAACTCCAGTGGTTACAGCAGCCAAAGCCCTTCCTTTGAGCAATCTGTGCCACCCAGTCTTACCAAATCATTTCCTAATTCCAGGAAAATCTCCATCTCATGAAGGGGGCTGCTGTTTATCACTCCACTGCAGAGAAGAACTCCCTCCATCCCCTGACTCTGCCCAGGTCTGGCAGTTCCTTCCCCCCACCCCCAAAGGAAGCACTGTCCCTCTGCTTACCTTGATGTGGGGAGACTGCATCTTCTGATACATGTCCAGCGAATAGTGATGGAGCCACATCTCCACAAAGACCTGAGGAAGAAGGGACTCAATCAGGGGGCGAAGGGAACCCCAAAACAAGCCACCTCAGGGAGGGACAAGAAGGGACCAATCTGCCATATCATTCCCCATCTTTCCAAGACTATGATTATTACGCAACACTTGCCACTAACATGTTTTTTGTTTACCTTTTTTTTTTAACCAATGTATTATTTGCCCTAATTATCGGCCCTAATAAGCCGAATCACACCTGCTCAAAATATATAAACTGAAGGATAGCTGTGTTTCAATTCATGGGCCCTGTACGATTAAGATCAGCTGTCCATGAAGGTGCAAAGGGGCCCTCAGCTCCAAAGGAAATGCCGCAGGGGCCCCGTGGCCCCAGGCGCAGCCACTGCAAGAGAGTGGTTCTCCCTGCTCTCCTGGGCCAAGGTAAAGAGCACCCGCAGCTGCCCCCAAGGTGGAGCGAGCCGCTCTTGAGGCCACCCACCTGAAGCAACGTTTCCGACCTCCAGATCTCTTGGGAAGCGGGGTCTGCATTCACTGAAGTCTGGTGAGCGACATGCCTTTTCAGAAGACTGGTGGGATGCATCCCATAGGAGGTGAAAGGCATTGTGGGAGAGCTTTGAAATAGAGAAGGCCACGTCAAAAGAGAGCATCCAGACACACCAGCAGGAGGAAATTCAAGGCCAGAGCCAAGAAAGCACTTTCTCAGGGTGTTGCCTCAAACCTTATCAGGATTGGCTCTTCTGACACCTATCAGAACAGCCTGATCTCCGCTCCAGTTTTACCCACTGAAGAATACACTGACTTTTGCTCCCATTTTTAGAAATGATTCGCTAAATGTTCCAGTTAGCACTAGTGAAAAAGGCCAGAGGTGTGTTCAGTGTGCTGCTAAATCTCCATTGTTCCTAGAATACATTTTAGTCAATTAATTTATTCCTATTTGCAGAAAATGAAAACAGGAACTATTTCAGAAATGGCATTTTGTAGCCCTGTTCCTGTTGCTGCCACTTAGATTTTTATCCCACCTTCATTACTTAATTGGTAACTTAAGGTGGCAAACATACACAACATACTTGGTGCACTTGTGGCCATTTGCCAACTGTCAGCATCCCAGCTTGCAAATTCCTACTAGCATCCTGAAAGCCACTGGAGGCCTTTTCTTTGCAGAGTCCTAATTTGCAAGCTCCTTCCACATATTCCCCTACCCTCACCCCCAGAACTGCCTTTTCTACAGCTGCAACCAGCAGATGAGGAGAGCAGGACAGCAAACACCCACCGGGAAGCAGGTGAGGAGACCACCCCTCCAGGCTCCGAGGAAGGGATGGGAGGGACACTCCCTTCTATGGGCAAGAACCACTTCAGGTACCGGTCCACCAGGATGAAGTAAGCGCTGTTCGACATGCTGATGGGGCAGGTGGTGGAGATGCCCTGAAGCACAAACAGAAAGAGTCCTCTTAGGCTTAAGAAGTTCCACAGTTCAATCTACAAGGAGGCCAAAACTCAAAACACTTAAAGCTTCCTTGCCACCTCGGAACAGGCAGACAACTCTCCACCTGGAGCAACAAGCCATTATTTCATCTCCACGTAACCTCAAATGGCCCACTGCACACACAATCTTATAACCCCATCTGGTATTCACAACCACCAAATGGTAACTTTGGCAAACCACAGACCAGTGCTAAAAGTGATCAACTCCTGCAGATTAACAAGAATCCAAACTTTTCTTTGATGAGCAGAATAATTTGTTCAAACTGGAAACACCACAGAGGGTTTGGGTGAGTCATGAAACAATCACAGACCTGAGTGGCACAGAAGACGGAGGCAATATTTCCAGCATTTTAGAACAGTGGTCCCCAAACTTTCCAGCTCCGCAGACTGGCCGGAGGTTGGCGGGGGGGGGGGGAGGAGAGGGAATAGTTTTGCATGCACGCATGCCGCATGCACAACCCAGTTCCCAACAGGCTGCAGACCAGTACCTGGCTGCAGACTGGGTGTTGGGGAGCCCTGCTTTAGAAGAGACCTACTGGCTTTCCCACAAGAAAGTAGAGCTGATGTAATAATGAAGTGGCTTAAAAGCCCCCTAGGTAAATCAATAGTGCTCCGGCTTCTTCTCCCCTCCTTTACTATATCAAGAAGAAGAGCGGCCTTACCAAGGAAGGCCGAAGTATACTCACCCTCTGGGTAAGGAGGCTGATGGCAAAGCAGAACATGTAATATTCATACGGATCTGGCAGGAGAGTCAAGGGAGCAATTTCCTCCAAGCAAGAAGGAAAAAGCAGGCGGGCTGCTATTTTATTTGATGGACTCCAGTTTTACACAGTCCTTCAGATTACTCCATTCGTAGTGCAAAAGATTCCCACACAACTTAAGTAGCAGGAGGAACCTCCAAGAGAGCTGATCTTGCTTGCCACACCTTGACCCACAGGAAAGTTCCTGGCTTGCAAGCTGTAAGGGGGGAAGGCTCTCCACCTACTCAGTGGGGAGAGAGTGGTAGTGGCCTGACAGCAGGCAGCACAACTCTAATGGCCTTCCCTAAAGCGGGAACAGCAGAGGTGTCTGCCGGTTGTTGCAAGAACAGGACAGTCTTCCTTTATCAGGAAAGCAGGCAGCCATCTCCCCAATGCATTAGCAGGTGGTTAGCATCAAGGAAGCACCACATATAACTCATCATCATTATAAGCTTAGGAAAAATTAAGTGCTAAAGAGTTGCCAAGATTGCTGTAGGATAATAATCCCCTTTCCCTTAAAGAACCCAAGGGAACTTGCTTTGTGGTTAAAAGCAGCTGCCAATTGTCTTCCTAGTCCCAGAATGCAACTCCCTTGTCTGCAAGTTATATCCTTGCAAGAGCCAAGTGGCTGCTAAGCTCCGTGGTCAAAGCAGCAGTGAGAGCACAACTGGCGCACAACCTGATGGTGCCAGAAAAGTTTAGGCGTCAGGGGAGAGAGGGAATGGCTTCTCCTCCATTACTAGCAGCAGCCGCTGCCCCCTCAAGCCCATCACTTCACTCACTCACTGCTGTGCAGGGAAACTGCTCCACACCCACAAGGCCAAAGGATACTAAGAATCAGGTTCAAATTCAGGCCACCAGTGGGAGGGAACTGGACTTTGTTGTGATATAATGAACATTCTGGTAAAATCCGTTCTTGAATTGAAGTTTTCACTGGGCCCTGAAAAGGTAAACAAGGTGCAACATAATGAAAACACATAAAATATAGGCTAAGAATTGCCCTCAATTGTGGTAATTGGGACCAGTATTTCTACTAAGCAAAGCAATTACAAAGCACAATGTCATGTGTTTAAGTAAGTCATCACTTACTGACGGCAATCCCAGCACTTCCTGTTATTAATCATATCCCACTGGCTGTTAGGTGAGGACCCGCTCTGATCCTACCATTCCTGGTGTGGTCCCTTCGAACCTTGGGATGGGGCTGCCCCCTCCCGAATTCCCCTACCTGCCTTATCTCTGCCCTTTTGGCTGGGCTGCACAGCGTCTCTCTTCAGCAGTGGTGGCTGTGCCAGCGCTGGAATAGCGGCCCAGGGGGCAGCAGCTGGCTGAGGCTGTTGAAGGCTCTGGGCTGCTATTTCAGCCCCAGTATTGCTGGCATCACCACTGCTGCCCAGTGGCACTGTGCAGGGTGGCCAAAAGGGGGGTGGGAGATAGGTAGGTGGTGGTGGGGGAGTTGAAGAGCAGCTCAGAAAGTTCATCGACAAATAGAATTTCCATGCAAGGAATTAAGAACTCAAGACTCCCAAGCTCAAACCTCTGTACAGCTAGTCCTCGACTTACAACAGTTCATTCAGTGACTATTCAAAGTTACATTACTGAAAAAAGTGGCATATGACCATTTTTCACTTACGACCGTTGCAGCATCCCCATGGTCATGTGATCCAAATTGAGATAGTTGGCAACTGACTCACATTTATGACAGTTGCAGTGTCCCAGGGTCACGTGATCCCCTTTTGCGACGTTCTGATAAGTGGAGTCAACAGGGAAGCCAGATTCACTTAACAACCGTGGTACTAACTTAACAACTGCAGTGATTCACTTAACATCTGTGGCAGGAAAAGTCGTAAAGTGGGGCAAAATGCACTTAATAAATGTCTCACTTAGCAACAGAAACTTTGGGCTCAATTGTGGTCGTAAGTCGAGGACTACCTGTACTGAGCTTAACATCCCTCTAACATCACCTCCTTTCCAGACACTAACAGGAAGGTGGGAGACGGGGAACTCGTATCTGTATTCCTCAGCTTGGAGCTTGTAAACCAACTTCATCATCGGGCCTCTGCAAAAGAAAGAAAGAAAAAAGCCAAATGGATCCCTGGGGATCTCCCATAACAAGTTTTGTTTTTACATTGCTACTGTCCGACATGGACATTTGTGTGTCTTCGATGAGCATTATCACCTAATCAAACCAGTGGATGATTTCCGTCACAGATGTAATAAACTGGGGCCCAATTCTCCAGAAGGGGCTCCAAGCGGCATGGATACAGACAGGGCTGAGCCAACTCACCCGGGGGATAGGAAGTCCAGGGCCACGTTGTACTCGGTGTAGTTTGTTCTGCCTTGTAGGCAGCGGAGGTTCCACCCGGAAATGATGCCATCTAAACTGCCAAAAATGTTCTCCACCAGCCAAGGAAAGATGGCATGCAGTTCCTTTGCAGAAGAAAAAAGCCATCAGAAAAGCCACTGCTGGAACCAGAGGAACGAACGGTGGCTTTCCCCAGACCCACCTCTCGTACCCTGAACCACTTCCTGCTCTGGGGAGAGCCAGGGTCTCCTTGCTGGTGGACAGAAGAGCAACAATTGCAGAAGACAGACAAATCCTGACAGTCACTTCACACTCCGGCTTCATTTTTATTTATAATTATAATCACACACACATGCAAAGGTCCTTACTTAATGACAGGCAGGATTCGGTTAACAGCAACAGTGACTGCTGGGATTGCTGTTGCTAAGCGATATGGTCACAAGATGTCAAGCTTTACAACCACATTGCTTAATGACGGAAATTCTGGTCCGAATTAGCATCGTAACTTGAGGACTCTCTGCATGTGTCCACCGTGGGTTTGTCTTCAGAGCTTCACTAAGCTCTTTTTTGGCTTTTTCTGCTGCCCTCACTCTTCTCTCCTCAAATGCAGTTGCATCCCCTTCTTTGAGAATCTCACCCACCCTGGGATCCTACTGCTCTGAGTTGGCTAAAATCCACTCTTTTGAAGTGGATTGAACAATTCACATTGTTCCCATTTGTTTTACAAGCAAGATCTCAAGCACCACGGGGATCCTTTTCTTCAAAGGTCCTGCTATTTCCACTTCCGCAAACTTTCCCCTTAGTATCACTTGAAGGATAGTTGATCCTTGTGACTTCCTCAGCCCTCTGAAAAGCCCTCTCAACAGCTATTCAAGTGGACCATGATTTACAGAATTAAACTGTACTTGTAACTGTTTTTTTTTAAATCCCTTTCCGGTTCTTTTTCATGGCCTGGAAGGGCGGATGAAAATACCACTTAAATCCACAGGCTCTTGAGCTTATTTCTGATTCTTTGCAGTATCATCCGTCTCTGCATGTATGTGGGAAGCTCTAGAAATTGTTCAGTCAAGTCCCCGATCTTGCTTCCCTGCAGGCAACACCCTTCAGAAGCCAGTGGGCGCAATCAACCTAACTTGGGGAGAATTGTTTGCAGGATCAGTTTCTGTTCTTGTCTGCCTTGCGAGGTAGCCCAGATAAGAACCCCCCCAAGAAGAACTAGTACTAACTTTACTGCAAGGTTACATTAACAGAAGCAAGTCTGAAAGTTGCACTCTCACCTCTTGACCCTTCCAACTAATTTTTATTGGGTTATGGTCTACTCATAAATTTGGTTCAATTTCAATCTCTTGTACATTTCCACATAATTCCGAATTCATCCAAATCATATCTATTCTGGACCATGATTTATGCTTATTGGAATAGAATGTATATTGTTTTTTCCCCGTTTCATTTCTCTTCACTATTCTCTCCAATAGATAATTCTTTTATCATTTTAATCAATGTTTCTGGTAAAGTCCTTCTATTTTTTTAATTAATTTTACTACTTCTGTAGTCCAGTTCATTATTGACAATTGTGTTGAAAACTCCCAAGATACAAATATTTTCATATTTTATTTCTAGAACCTTTTTGCGAAGTTGCTTATAAAACTTCTCTTGTCCAGTATTTGGTGCATAATAAATTAAAGGGTTCGCTTTTGATACAGAGTCGCTTCCAACATCAAAATTCTCCCTTCTTCATTATTAAAAATTTGTTTGGCATTTATTGTTTCTTTCACCTAAAATACTACCCCTCTTCTTCTTCTTCTTCTTCTTCTTTTTTTGCTGTGGTAATGAATAGAATAATTTTACCAATTTAGAATATTCCAATAATTTATATTGTTATCTCTTGAAGTGCTATTATATCTAATTTTTGTTTCATTAATTTAGAGAATGTCTTCCTTTTTATTGAATTCAGCCAATTAATATTGATTGATAACACTTTTATTTCTTCTTGCATTCAATTATTTATATCTAGGTTTTATAGTCTAAGTTGCTCTTACTTCTCTAGGTTCTTTCACTATTGCTCCCTCTTGTTCTAAATGGTTTTTTTTTCTCCTTTTCATCCTGTATTTGTTTTGGGTATCTTCCTCCTGTTATTAGTGCTTCTTGGCTTTTATATACTTGCTCTCTTGTTTCTTGTTCCTCATCTACAGCTAAGTAATTCTCATAAAAATCCGTTGCCTTATCCAGTGAGTCCAATCGGTACCTTTTTTCTTGCCAGATGACCAAAAAATGGAAATCAGCCACCTGAAGTTTACATTGTGTCTAACCAAGACTCAAGTGAGGAAGTGATACTGTTTTCTTAGGTCCCTTACTCTTCTGGGGATATGTTTCAGAACCACCAATTGTTTACCTTTATATACTAGTAGTTCCTCTCTTGCTTTATGCAGTATCTCATCCCTTAATGGTTTTTTTACTTGTCTTATATGTACCTCCCTAGGAAGATTGTGTTTTCTCGCATAATTTGTATAAATCCTGTATGTTTCATCCAATTCCATATCCATCTCATTTGTCTGTGCCGAATACCCTTGCTAACAATTCTTTCATTAATTCTGGTAAATCTTCTCCTTTTTCCTCTTCTGTTTTGAAACCTTAAATAATGGACAGCTTTTTCTGTCTCTAACATTATTCTTTATTAGTCTGGGTCAGTTGATTTAAAATCATCTACCTGCTTTTTCATATGTTCTGTTTTCTCCTCCATTTTTTGAATCTTTTCTTCACTTTCTAGTATCCTTTGTTGAAAGGTCTCTAGTTTTTCATCCATATTCTGTATTTTTTCTTTCAACTCTCCCATATCATTTCTCACTTCTCCTATATCTTTCCTTATCTCATTATGACTTTGGGTCATAGATTCTTGTAATGCCTGTAATAACGTTCATACCTCCTTTTGTGATGAGTTAGCTTTCTCCAACTGTAAGACGCTTTCAACCGACCTCTGATTAGAAGGGCTAGAAGATATTGAGGCCTGTGTCGAGGATGCCTTTTTACCTATTTTTGTTATGTTTAAAGCCAACATTTTGGCAATTAATTTTTTTAGCCAGTAATTATTATCACCTCCCCTAGTCTTCCCTATAAGCGTAGGCCACCCCAGAATTGACCACCTAGAATATTCCAGTACGGTGAATATCTCCCCGCATTAGTACCCAACAGTAATAAAGACCGTAGTAGTATCACGTATCCGAATATCAAAGTATGACAGCACTATATTAGATCCCACCTTTTTTTTTCGATCTGAGTTCAGTCAATCAATCATTTCCCAGAGTCTAGTCAGTGTTGAGGATCAAACTCAAATCAGAATCAGTTGATTATAATAGCTCAAAAACATCCACTATATCTCCAATATAGTCTTTTCCTTCTGTTCCGTAAGCATATAGTTTTATATTTATAGTTTCATTAGTTTTATAATCCATAAGGCTCGCTATCTTACCAGTTGACCATAAAATAAAAGTTCTTTTCTCTTCTGTTCCAGTTTATTCAAGCTATTTATAATCCACCAGGTTTCAGTAGCTTCTATTTCTGTTGCAGCTCCAATCTTATTTTCCCTCAAAATTTTCCTACATGGAATATAATCCTCTAATTGTTCCTTGTCATCAGGTATTTTATTTTCTAAAGTTGTATACCTTTCCCCCTCCCCCCCCCATCTTTAAAGTATCTATTTTCCTTCTGGTATATTCCACTTTAGGTCACTAGATGGCAGTCTTACTCCTTTTTCCTATCCACTCTCAAAATGGAATATCTTCACCTTCTGTAATTAAAGGAAGTTTTAGCAATGACAGAAGATCCACTGGTGAGAAATATTTTAATTCTGCCTTTAAAAATATAGTTAATCCAGTCTTTCTCTCAGGTTAGTGTTATTTAGCTCTTGTTTTACTTTCACTTCACTGGCAATTTGAATTGCTCCAAAACTTTCCTTCTAGAGGGAGCTAAGATGGTAATTTCCTTTCTCTTTCTTTCTGGAGCCTCCCTCCTCAAACAAAGATAATTTAGCACGTTTTGTTTACCTCTGGATAGAGATTGTATCATCCTTAACTAGTGCACTGTCACTTTTCCGCTACTTCACCGCTTGTTTTTTCCGATTGCTGGAGCTTCGGTTCGGCCATGACTGGCTGACTTCTTTCCCACCTGTCCAGAAAGTATCTCCAGATCCAGCTAAGGCAGTGGTTCTCAACCTTCCTAATGCCGCGACCCTTTAATACAGTTCCTCATGTTGTGGTGACCCCCAACCAGGGGTGGGTTCTAAATTTCTTTTACTACCGGTTCTGTGGGCGTGGCTTATTTTGTGGGCGTGGCTTGGAGGTCATGTGACCGGGTGGCCGTGGCTAGCTGGTCATGTGACCGGGTGGCCGTGGCTATGTGTATAGGGACTACTCAGAGGGCTGAAAAAAAGTCATTTCTGACAGGTCCTCGCACTTTTGACTGGTCCTCACACTTATGACCATCCTCACATTTATGCCTGTGCAGCATTCTTAACAACCATGTCACTCATTTCACAACTGCTTCTCTTCAACATGGTATAAGATAGGGCAAAAAACGTAAAATGTGAGGACAGTCGTAAATTCGAGGACTGGTCAAAAGTGCGAGGACCAGTCAAAAATAACTTTTTCAGCCCTCTGAGTAGTCCCTGTGCACAAAAGGACTACCCAGAGGGCTGAAAAATGTGATTTCTGACAGGTCCTCGCACTTTTGACCGGTCTTCGCAGTTATGACTGGTCATCATTTATGCCCATTGTAGCATTCTTAACAACCGTGTCACTCATTTCACAACTGCTTCTCTTCACCATGGTGACAAGATAGGGCAAAAACATAAATTGTGAGGACAGTCGTAAGTTCGAGGACTGGTCAAAAGTGCGAGGACCAGTCAAAAATAACTTTTTCAGCCCTCTGAGTAGTCCATATGCATAAAAGGATACAGCAATAGAGAGGGATGAAGGAAGGGAAGGGAAATTAGAATAGGAGTGAAGGTAAGAGAGGGAGGAAGAGAGGAGGAGAAGGAGAAAGAAAGAGGAAGTAGGGAGAAGAAGAAGGGGGGGGAAGAGAAAGTAACTAAGAAAGAAAAGACAGAGGTGTTAGGTTTGAGGAGAAAGATTGCTGTACAATAAAAAAGATGAAAGGGAAGAAAGCCAACCCCAAACAAATATAAAGATATTAAGATAAAGAATGAATTGTTAAACTTTAAAGAATAAAAGAGAACAAATAGGAATAAATAGCAATAATTAGAAACACACATACAAACATACAACATATTTTCTTTGAACAGAGTATTTGGCCGGTCCACAAATTTAAACAGTTGTAGGAGCTTAGCACCCACCCCTTTCCTAGAAGAATGAAATATTTTGGGAAATATTAAAAAGGCAGAATATTATATTTCCCTAGATGAGAAATGGAGAAGCATATTTTACAGACAAAGCAGCTCCCACCTTCCTGCCCCCCACCCTTTGTTAATGGGCCAGAGGCAGAAAGTCAATCCTTTGTCAAAGGACATTTGCAACACAATAGCAACAGAAACTAACACAATGGGCCCCATCAAGCCATGTGATCCTGTCCACTATTAAAACATCTTTCCAAACAGTCTCCATGTTTCCAGTGTCTTTTTCCCCACTTGGAGCAGAACCCAGAAGGATATTTCTTCCAACACAGTATTTAGTCATTTCAATTAAATTTACAATTTCTATATTTCCTTTTTACCATATTTATTCCTCATCTATTTTTTTAAAAAACCAATATTACCCTTCATCCTCATCTCTAATCTTAATCAAATTCAATTTTTCCCTTCTATTCTATATTATACCCCTTCGCATTGTCATCTATTTTTATATCCATCCTCACATTGGTTAATTATGTAATACAGTTGTTTAATACAAATTCAACATTTTAATATAAATCAATTAGTTATATAACTATCTTTTTTGTATATTTATCAATATGAACGTGAATATTCCAATTATTTCCATGCAATCCAATTTCTTACAAATCAATTAATTATATTTACCAATAATAATAAACCAAATAATTTCCCCCATATATTCCTCCAAACCACAACTTAACCATTTCTGCTTTCAACACAATATACAATTAATAGTATCTCAATTATTACAATTCCCTAGTTAAATAGAGCTTTTTTTCTTTTGTGTTTTAAAATCTTGAACCTCCTCTTGCCCTAAATTTCCCATTGTTTGCAGTTTTGTACCTACCTTTTTTGGTGAGGAAAAAGAAAAAGAAACCTCTCTGCCTCATTTTGTCACGTTGCAGCTAAGACCCTGCTTTCGCTTTCTCTTTTCAGCATAGCTAGAGGGAAAAAAATCTGCTCCAGGAATTTACCTCTTTGCAGCTAGCTCTTTGAAGCCCCTCGGCAAGAATCTAGCCACCAGCTGGGACTCCGGAGGCAGCAACAGATTGGGAGTGGGCGGGGTAAGCGAACGGTGACCAGGCGATCCAGCAGAGGCGGAGGGTGAGTGAAGGCGGGGGGGGGGCGAGAGAGGGCTTTGGCGACCCCTGGGAAATGGCCGTTCGACCCCCAAAGGGGTCGCGACCCCCAGGTTGAGAACCGCTGAGCTAAGGGGACCGCCGTCCCCTTGCAATCAACAGGTGCCTTTCCAACTTAGTCACCCCTTCAAGGTGAACATTTGACTCCAATGAGCTCCAGGGCAGCAGAAAACAGCTGATTACCACAGATTTCTTCAGATCCCCATGGATTTCAGCTGTCACTCGCCCCGGTTACAATCAGAAGTCCTGGTTAAAAATCTTGATTTCAAGGTAAAATATGAAAGGGTCTCCTCTTAAATTCCCTCTCTGGACTTTCCAGACAGTGTCCTTTTAGTTCTCCCTATTCATCCCTTGCCTTAGCCTGAAAGCAGTAGGGCCTGTTCCCTTGAAAGAAGAAAAAATATATTACCAGAGGCCCTGGCTAGGGGCAAGCTTCCTACCTTGGCAGGAAAATCTTCAATGATTGTCGTGAGATCATGGCATCTCTGAGCAAAAGGCTTGTTCAGACAGTCAGCCTTTAAATTAGCCTGTTTCAAACAGAAAAGAGAATCAATCAATCAGAATAGAGCTGGAAGGGACCTTCGAGGTCTTCTAGTCCAACCCCTTGCTCAAGCAGGAGACCCTATCAATTCACTTTTCTGAAATAAAGCAATTAAACTATTTAAATCTTTAGCAAATGTTTCTTTCATAACACAATTACCGTATTGATTGATTTCAACATTTAAACAACCTGGAACTACAGCAAATATGAATTGGATGAGAACTGTAGCAGCAATTCTAATTCTTAATTGAAACAGAATTTTACACAGAATTATGTTTTAATTCCACTTTTCTACAAGAAACCACTTAAGCTGCTGGTAAATATACCCTAAATATGCTGTTAAAATACAATATAAGTCTTAATTAAGGCTTCCAATTGAGGCTTTTTTTTTTTTTTACAATAACTCCATTGCTAATTCCTTATAGCAGAATCAGGGCTGGTTTAAGGCAGTCTGTACGGTCTACAGCTGTACTGGGCTTGGCAAAGGAGCAGGGGGCACCATAAACCTCAAAATTTCCTGCTGATAATCCTCTGCTGGAGACCCATGTCCACTCTCCTTGTGAGCCAGCAAATGCATAGACTTTCTGCCTCCCCTTTTTATACAGTAGAAAAGAAACATCAGAGAAAAGTGTGCTGCTTACTTTGTCTGAAAATAAAGGAAGAGGTGCGACATAATATTATGCCAGAGACCCAAGACAAGTTTTACTAGCAGCAGTGCTTATTAGCTAGCTTATCTAAATGCCAAATAAAAAGTTGCCTATAATTCAGGGGGGAAATCTGACCAAGATGATCAATAAAGCATAGATATGACAACTATCCTGCATTCAATATCCAGTGTCACTGCAATGTAAGAGAAGTAGCAGTGGGCAATTCCCTGCTGGGAAGAACTGAAGCCACAGCCTGTAGACATGACATGACAGGAGAAATAATGTCTTTCAAGTCTGCATCCAGGATGGTACAGGCTGCCTCAACTCTTCAAATCTTCCTGGTGACTGACACAGATCTTCAGAGACAACAAGGCCCTGGGTAAGGAGGGGGAACTAAGAGGGCAAGGACAGTTTTTGTCAATCCTTTCAGTTGTGCATTATAGCTTATGAAGGACCAGATCTTGAAAGTGAAGAACTGGTTGCACAGATACATTACTTCCCAGTGCAGCCAAGAATGGTTGCATCCCCACCATGGACGGTGTTACTTACATGAAGGGATCCTGGAAACAGATAGGCTGCACTTCACAAAGACCAGAAAGGTGTTCTGGATCAGCAAGTGCTTCCCCAATTTCATTAGATAGATAGTAAACCAGAGCAAAAGAATGATCAGACCCCAGACCCAAATCTGGTGCCAAGGTTAATTTATCTGCCAAACATATTGTGTTCTGAGATTAACAACACAGGAGACAAAGAGAGAAATCTGAGGGTGTGAGGAGACTTAAGAGACTGGCACTGAAACCCACAGGGGCTACTACTCACAATTTCAAAGGTTTCTTCAGCAATATAGACAATATGCAGAACAGAGAGAACTGGAAATCCCAACAGGGGAAACAAATATGTTGCAGGCTTTAACTGAATCTTGTTGATATGACACTTGACTGGGACACTGTCATCAACAATTTGTTTTTAAAAGGACAAGATTCAACAGAAAGAGGGAAGGGGGCAGGGTTGCAATGCACTTGTCCTCACAGAATCTAACAACCTGGACTATGGAGAGTGTTTGAGTAACACTTCAAAACAGCAACAAAAGTGATACTATCCCAGGTGTATATTATGCACCATTTGGGCTGGCAGAAGATAAACACCAGGCCTTTCTAAATTGGATGATCAGCCTTTCAAAGAGACACGTGTGGGGGATTCCAGTATGAGGGGTTCTTGGAGCTCTCTGAGCTTGGCTGCTTTCTTGCAAACGTTTCATTACTCAAATTAGGTAACATCATCAGTGGTAAAAGGGAATAAAGTTTGCTCTCTGGGACTAGCACTGATGGTGATACCTATCTTGGGTAATGAAAGGACTGCAAGAAAGCAGCCAAGCTCAGAGAGCTCCAAGGACCCCTAATTTCAACCCTGAGCTACACATATTCTCCAAATGTTATTAGATTGCAATATTCCTACCATCTGCTGGGAATCCAACTCTGCCAAATGGTATATGGTCTCCTGCTTGAGCAGGGGGTTGGACTAGAAAGCTGAAAGTTTCCTTTCAGTTCTGATTCCAAGAGTCAGAAGTTTGACAAATTTTTCTACTCTTCTGCTAACAACTTCATTTATAAGATCCTAGAACTAAATGTCAACAAAAGGCAGCCTGAATAACCAAAGAAAATACAAGAGTTACCAGAAGTTGTAGAGATTGTATTAACCAAGGTTTGTGAGAAAGTATTTTTGGTGGTTCATCAGAAACAAAAGGAAAGAGGCTGTAAATCTCGGGAGAAGAAATGGATGAGCTGGTAACTTTTATTTTGAATAGCATGTATGCTTTATTAGTATTTTATGTGTATGAATTCTATTGTGTACATTTTTAAGGCGGAGAAGGCAAGGCACTTCTACTTCCTTTTTTACTCTGTCTGAATTTTTAAAGTATATTTTTCTGGGTCCCAGGCTGCGCGTCTATTGGGGTGAAGGAGAGTCGGTCTGTGCTGGGGAAAGAGCAAAAACCGAGCCGTGGGGAGAGCAGCGGAGGGAACTGGCTCCCTTCGGCCCGAGAAAGAGAAGGCGGAAGGAGCCCTTCTCGGGGAGGAGGCGCCAGAGAGGCTTCCTTTCTTGGCCAGGAGGGCAGGCCCGAAGCCAGCGGTTGGCGGCGACGCAACTCGGGCCGGCAAGAGCGGCCTGCAACAGCCTCCTTCCCCGGGAGCTCTCCCGGCTCCCAGCCTGCATTCAATAAGCCCCTGACTCTCTCGCCCGCCCGCCCAGGTGGGCTCTGCTCAGGGCCTGCCCGAGGGAGGGAGGGGGCCGCCCCCAGCCCCACTCCCTCCAAAAGCTAGCCGGGCGGGGCCTCCTGTGGCTCTTGGAGCGCGGCTTACCAGCAGGTAGCTGGGCAGAGGGAAAGGCGGCGCGGCCGGCTCGAGGTTCTTGGCGCGGCTCGGCGCGACCCTCATGGCGGAGGAGCAGCGGCCGGCCCTCTGCGGCGCGCGGGGAAAACGTCACTGGCCGCGCTCCCGGTGACGTCTCCCCGAGCGCGCCGCTTCCGGTGGCTGCAAGGCCGTCCGCCTAGAGAGGCCGCCTTGGTGGCCCTCCTGCGGGGAAGCGGCTGGCCGAGGGCCCGAAGGAAGCCTGGAGCGGAGGGGGATCCGCAGGCCCGGAGGGCTGCCGGCTGGGGTCTCCGCCTGCCAGGTCCTTTTCCCATAAAGGAGGTGTTCGCATGTCAGCCTGGCAGGCAGCCACATTTCCTTCTGAAGTTCGGGAAATGTTAACGTCTAATTAACCGAAGACATTTTTAAAAATCCGGGAAGTCTCTCTTCAGCAACAGTTGGGAGCGTATTCTGGAAGTCCCTGAATACACATACCACAAAATTAAGAAAGATGTTATAAACAGGAATGGGGTTTTTCTGTTGCTCGGTTCTCTCGTGTGACCAGTGTCTTGTTCTTTAATGACTTGCTTTTTGACCTATTGTGTTTACCAAACGTCTGTAGTATTTGTTTCTGTACCCTGTAAAATGACTTGATCCCCATTAATAATTGCCTGAATTACTTGATTTTTAATTTTGGGTTGGTTAAAAAAAACACCTTTGCATAGGTAAAAGTCTTTTTCTCTCGAATTCAGGGAATAGATCCTAACTTTGGCTGCCTAAGCTTCAGTGCCCTAACACCTTTGAGAGAGGCCAGGGATGGAGTGACTAAAATGAGGCATTTTGTAGCAAACAAATAGCATAAAATGTACAGGCAATTTTGGACAAGCTGCTTGTTAGAAACTTGTGTCAGACCATCACCATACAAATTACTGGAAATCTATTGTTCTGGGGTTTTTCTCTTCTCCCTCTTGCACTCTGGAGAATCATTTCCCCAAAATCCTGCAGGACTGTGGTACCGGTAGTGGTGGAATTGCAACACTTCTCTTAAAGGAAGGGAAACAAAGATGGCCAGCTGAAGAAAGTGACCTTCATTCTTTAAAGGGTTCTACTTGAGTTACCAATTAACAGGCTAGCATTTTTCCCACTTCTGCAATTGAGCCTTTACACTACATGGCTAAGAGACAATAGCAAGAGTGGATCCATTATAACTGAGGTATCTGTGATAGCTCCATGGCAATACCATTCAAAATCTGAGAGAGCAGGAGAATGACAGAAAAGCCGTGTGCACACAGACACTGAACAGGATCTGAGAACTTGGTGAATGCCACGTTATGAGGGAGATGCTACCAGTGAGGGAAATCCCTTACTCTTCTGTCTTGTTCCTATATTCCTCCTTTGCTACTGAAATATTGGCACAAAGTGGCTGTTCTGGTGCTGAAAGGGGAGAAATGCAGCTGGATACTGAACCTAAATAGAAAATGCTGTCTTTTGCTCCTGAAGGGAAGGAAGGACATACTTCCAAAAGTAGTTTCAAAAATGGCCAGCTCAAGCAGCAGCCTGTGTCAAACATTGGGTTTATTGCAAGGAGCCAGCTGCCCATGTTGTTTCCAGCTGCCTGGCAGCTGAGTACAGAAGGAGAAGAGAGAGCCCCGCCCATCACCCCAGTTCACCATGAGTGGAAACTGTGGGTCCCTGGCTGGGCTCAGGCAATTGAAAGAAGGCTGGTAGGGGGAAATCTAGAAAGTGCAGCAGGACCCCAGTAGAATGATGCACCCTGCTTCCCCTTCTCGAGATCCTGGCATGATGCCAACACTACCTGAATGCCACTGGTCCAACAGTCTGGAGAGAACATCCCCAAAAAGTGCCATATTGTGCATTGTGAACATGAGCTGGCAGAGCTCCCCAATGATTGCAATCAATCAAGAGTTAAATGAAGAACAGCTGGAATGAGTTGGAGAAATAGCTTTCAATTCTCTGGCATCTGTAATCTCTACATTTTATTCTCTAATGGAAATTAACAACCAAGAGTTCTGAAATGAGCTGAACAATGTGGCCCTCTGTAGGCAAAGACTTTACGTGCACAATGGAAGCCATTGCTTGGCTGTATGAGATAGAAGCATATTCTGGTTGCTTTTTTAAAAAAGTCTCACAAGTCTAATGTCTATTTCTGCCAGAACAACGGGCATAGTGGGCACCATCAAGGAGACTGTTAATTAGGGCATCTTTTGGAAACTTGACAGAGACAATGGGCTGCAGTTCAGTCCAAAGCCTGATGTTTTGTTCTTCACAGCGACCATCCAGGTGCTTTGGGAGGCTTATAAGCAGGAGCTAAGACCTCTGACTCCCCTGTAATTCTTGTCTGCCATGATTATGGGATTTGGAGACCTGCTGACCAGGGAACATCTGGTTCTTGGGTTTGAAATGCTTGCTCTTATCCATAGCGAAATGTTTCAAACCAAAAAAGAAAAGTCCAGTTGCCATGACTGAACTTTCAGACAATTCTACCTGGATGCCTGAGAATCTTGGAACTAATTTTGATCCTGTAGCACCAATAGTGTTGTACGAAAAGCTGTGTGAAAATGACTTCCACAGAAGTGGAATGATGTCTTTTGCTTTCTTCAACTTTAAATCTCCCACTTGGCTTTGTTGACACTGGTCACAGGAGAGAACTGAGCAATAGAAAACCCCATTCCAGTTTATAGCATCTTTCTTAATTTTGTTGTAAGTGTATTCAGGGACTTCCTTCCTTTCCAATTGTTTCAAGTACAGAAAGGAAAAGAAAGCCTAGTTTTAAAAGAGACCACTGTTAAATACCTCTAAATTCTTTCACTTTTTCCCAGTCTAACATATTAGAATTGCAATCTAAATCTCCAGAAAATTGCAAGACCTGGAAACACGGAGAACTGGAGATGTGTCAAAGGATGAGGAAGAACAAAACTGGTGAATTTCTTCTATCTGCTTTGAAAAAACAGGATCTTAGTAATTCTTGACCTTTGAGCCAAACTTCAATCCCAGGAAAGATGTTCCAGCAGATAATGAAACAGGACATTTGTAAGGATACTGAAAACAATGTCATAACTTCAAATAGTCAGTCTCACTTGGCCAAAATCAAATCACCAGAGACAATTTTTGCTCCTTTGATTCTAGTGGATAAGGATGTATTCTCCCTTGATTTCAACAAAGGTTTTGACAAAGTTCCAAATGAGATTTTCCTTAACAAACAAGAGTATTTTGGATCACACTACAGTAAGCTGGGTTCACAACGCTTACAGAATCAACACAAATAATTTTACATCAAGTTGGAGTACAGTCAACTATTCTATGGGTTCTATGGGAATTAACCTTGCAGCCAGTATCGTTCAACATTTTTATTAATAATCGGATGGTCTATTTATACGTTGCAGATGATAAAAACCTGAGAAGTTTGGCCAACATATATGACAGAATGAGATTGCAGCCCAAACTAGGGTTGAGAAGAGCAAGAAAGACTTGGATGTGGTCTTTGACTACAAGCTGGGTTGTGTCAAGTGAGGTCATTATTCCTCTCTACTTGTACAGCCAAAACGGAGGGGCTCTGGATCATTCTTCTGTCTACAGGGTCCCAGCTTTCCTCCTCCAGCTTGTGCTGACCAGTTGGGGTGGGGCTGATTTGCCTGTTCACTTCCACAGCGTAGCAGCTTCATTTCCACTGGCCAGAGCCTTCCTCTGCATCTCCCGGCTCCTTGTTCCTGCTCCCCTTGGGAGGCTCAACAGAAGGCTTATAGCCAAGTGCTTCTTTCTCCTTCCTGCAGTAAGAAAAGGGTGAGGAACATGCAGAGAAGGGAGAACTGGGTGTTGCACTCCTATCATATGGATCTGAAGTAAACTATATCCCCAAGGGACAAACACAGCACCACATCACCAGGTCTGCCTCTTTGGGGCACGCAGGTGACACACAACGCGCATAGAAAAGCCGAGGAACTAGCAGAGTGATGCTACTTGCATTGCTCTGATTGCCCTTCCTCTCTCCTCCTTCCCCCCCCAGATCCTGCTGCACATTCCTCCCTGCTTATTTCTGCCTCCATTTCCCCTGACCTTTTCCTTAATCAGAACCATCACTTGCTCTTATGCTCTGTGAAATGCTGATAATTATACTAGTACCCAAAACAAGTAGTGAAAAAGACCAATATGGATGCAAAGCAAACATTAAACAGGAGGAGGTGTTGGCAGTGATTTCAAGTTTTGTTCCCCCTCCCCCCTCATGTGTAAAGAGAGGGCAATTAACTGGGTTCTGTTGAGGTTGGGGAGGAAACTGACTAGCAGCTGGGCAACATATGTACTGGAAGCCAGACAAGCAAGCAATTAAAGCCAGCTACTTCCTTGTCCCAAAGTTGCTTTTTCAAGAAGCATGTTGGAAGAAAAAAGAAGCTTTTCACTTTAAGGATTGTGGGAAAGCAGAGTTTTCCCTTCTTGAATTCAAAACTCCCGAAATGATTGGAGGTCAGCTGCTTGAGAGCAGAATTAGTTTATTGTTTATAGAAAGCAGGCAAGAAACAAATACATGCACAGTGTTCCGAGGCTAGCCTGTTTGAACTGTAAGAAAAACCCTTTTTTATTTCCTAAAAAATCTTTAGATTTTCTATGTGACCCTTTAAAGTCTTTTGAAATTCTTTTGATTTAGCATGTGAATCCTTTGATTTGTGTATGTGATTGTTTTATGGTGTTTAAATCCTGCTTTTTGTAATTGAGTCCTTCCGACCTGGATCTGGCAAATAAGTAATTGTTTTATAGTCCAATCTCTGTTTTTCCTAGCCTTTTGCAGTTGTTCGTTCCCTATAATCAATCACAGCCCCTGCTGTGTTCATGCAATTGATTAACGAAGTACTGCATGAGCACTGTATAAGGGGGTCCTGGTCTACTTGGATGACATTCTTATCTACTCTGAGAACATGGATGACCATGTGAAGTTGGTGCGAATGGTCCTGAAAAAACTCCGGGCTGCTGAACTATATGCCAAACTTTCTAAGTGCGAGTTCCACCAAAGCAGAATTGACTATCTTGGATATTGCATATCGCATGAGGGGATAGAGATGGACCCTGGAAAGCTTCAGGCCGTATTGGAATGGGCTGC